TGTGCTTGCGTGTGTGTGTGTGTGTGTGTCCTTCCCACAGTGCTCAGTGTGTGGCTGCTTTGTCAAGGAGCACAGAGAGAAGGATTTCTCCCTCCAGGGGCAGAGAATTGGGCTTGTAGAATCCTTAATGAATAGAAGTAGCAAAGATCTACCTCACGAGAAGACCAGAGTAGCTACAAACCTCAAGCTCGGCTCCAGCTGCAATTTGGTGGATCGGTGACTGGTGCATTCTCTAGGTCTGAACAGGACTTAATTTATAAACTATTTTTAAACCATTTTAAAACAATATTTTGGATTTTAAAACACTTTAATAACATGCAGAATGAAGTATAAAAAAGGTCCCGTTTTGCACGTACAGACATTCCTGAGGGGATTTGTAATGCTCTAAGTGGTACTTTGCTCCTCAATCTACAGTGGGCCATGTAGAGGCTTTTTTGGCAGTTTGTGCTGTGGGACAGAAATYAGGTACCTGTAGAGAAGGCAGGGATGGGACTCCTGTGGAACTTTTAGATAGCAAGCCTTATGATGCCAGGAAGAAGGATGGTGCCCTGAAGGGTTTCAGCCTGCCTGTGGGCTGTTCGATGGCTGTGTTTAAAAGCCTTGACTGTGCAATGTCTTGCAGCGGGACTGAGATGCCTCTGGGGGAGATCCAGCTGACGGTGCGCTACGCTTCCATCCGGCAGAGCCTCGTCGTGCTCGTCAATGGCTGCAGGTAATGCTCACAACTGCTAAAAGAGAGGGAAGAACTCTCTGAGCTGTGTCAGCCATCTCCAGCAAAGTTGGAGCAGAGCCACGTGCAGCAGGAGATGCCTTAGCACTGGCTGGCTTCCACCTGTGCAGCCTCTCTGTGCCCAGCTTTGATCAGTGCCAGAAGCAGGTCAGAGAGAGAGACCAGCAAGTTGTGCTCACTGCAGTRGAGATAACTTAACCTGTCATTCACCCAAAACTTCCTCTGAACAGCACTGACAGCTKGTGTGTGTCTTGGGGTGTCAGGATTCCAAATTGTGACAAGGATTGATACCTATGACTGAATTCGTAATTGTTAATTTAGGAACCCCACTAAGTAGCCACAAACGAGTAAAAATTTTAACTAAACATCCTAAAGTTTTATTTGCTCGTGTTCCAGCTCCCAAGGTGAATGATTTTGGCCTATGAAGAGTTCTGATTCTAAGAGGGCCAAGGTATTAAAACACACAGTGGGAGAACCTGCCTTGTCTGTATTTCTTTTAACAGGAACTTGGTACCCTCTTCCAATCGTGGAGTGGATCCATACGTTCGTATATACCTGCTTCCAGACAGAAGATGGACAAGCAGGAAGAAGACTTCTGTTAAGAAAAAAACTCTGAACCCMCAATATGATGAGAAGTAAGAAAACGTTAATTTTGATTATGGCTGGAATATTTATGATCYCTGTGTAATGAAAGGGCTTCCTAAGGTGTCCTGCTGTTAGCGCCTAAGGACTCTCTCGTGAACACTTGCAGATTTTCTGAAACAAGTGGCACTTTGTGATTTACAGTTACTTAGGACTGGTCTTGCTCTGCCTGTCAAGTGATCAGTCCCCCTGAAGAAGGGCACACCTTCTTCCCTGCCCCTTCCCTGCTCCCAAGCTTCATTTTCTCCCTTGCAAACTGACATTCTTCTACCTGTGTTTGCCTCTGCCGTGACAGGGAGTTAATCTGCCCATTCAAGTACCTCCCAGAGCCTCCTGCTCTGCTCACACTGCTTTGCCTGATGCTTATTCTGACATCCTTCCAAAGGTCCAAGGCAGAAGTGCAGAGCCTTTTGAGACTGGGCCACCCTTTGGGTACACCGGTGGATGTTGTCATCAAGGTCTGGTGGGAGCAGGGTAAAATGCTCCCACCCCTTTGCTAATGGTGTCATATGCACAGCTCTGCCACTGAAATGGAATGTGTTTTGCATAAACCCAAACACAGTAATGCTTAGAAGTAAAGTTCTTTTGAGAGGTGGTTTTAATCCCATAATTAGAGGAAGGTACACATAAAAATATGTGAATATTAGGTAATCCCATGTGGTTTRTATTTTTCCTATGTTGTGTCCTTTCTGTGAAAGTCAGAAACGGGCAAAAGATTTAAAAATACATCTTCTTAACAGTCAAAACACCAAAGGATTTAGGATTTTGCTTATGTCTGTTCTCAAGTAACTCCACTGATTTAGTGCCATCACARCAGCTGGGAAYAGCATCTCCTTTTCCTCRTCCTCAGTACTGACRTATCCTGTACATCCTCAATTAAGGRTAATGCTTAGCTCCAAAACACGTTACCTGTTTTACAGCTCTGACTTGAGGAAGAGCTATTCAGGTGGGCAGAACTGGAGTGATTTAGCATGGACAAAASTCACTTGACATTAGCCATGTGTGCCAGAGGCTTGAGTCAGAGCCATTAAGAATTTAATTGCCACGGGTTTCAGCCTTTGTCTGTTCTTGGTGTGGTGCAAGGCTGCTCTGTGAACTTGGGGGGTTGCCTCATTACTATTTCCTCTGAGTAATGAATGCTGCATGGAAAACACGCTGATCTTCCATGGAGGGGGAAAATGATGCTAAATGGTATTTCATCAWGGATGTATGTCTTCCTCCTTCCCCYGSCACGGTGGACAGTCTGAACACAGTGTTGTCATCTTTCATGAGGCCTGGAAGAGGTTTCCTGCAATGTGAATAAAATCTAACTCTAGAATTGGCTTTTCTGTGTGTTCCTTCCCTGTTAAAGTCCTGGTCACTGATGCTGTACTTKGTCACTGATTCATATTCTGCCCACTGATGCTCACAAGATTTTAGTTTTTGCCTTAAGTCTCTTCTTTTTAAACTTTCATTTTAGGTTTGAATTTTTTGAATCTTTGGAAAATGTCAAGAAAAGGACACTAGACATTGCAGTGAAAAACAGCAAGCCGTTCATTTCACAGGAGAGGAAGGAGCTGGGGAAAGTAAGTTTAAAGAATCTGCACTGTAGATAAAACAGAGCTGAGCAGTCTGGGCCATTCCTGAAATCCTGAAACGTGGCTCCAACAACTGATTCTCAGTAATAGGACTGGCAATCTGGAAATAACTTTTTTCTGCCAGATTTCATCTGAAATGAGGCWGTATCCATGTGGGAGCTGTGTGGTGTCATTTCACAAGGGTGCTCCTGAAGTAAGCCCTGCTTCTTGGGCCCTACTGCTGTCTTTTGGGGAACGGCTCCAAAAGTGCAAACATGGAGCTGAGAAAGGCGTGGGACTAAACCCCACAATTTGCCAACAGTGCTTTAAGATTTCTGTGAACAACTTTGATTCTGTGAAAAGTAAACTGCAATTGCTTCTTTGGTGACAAATTTCCAAGCAGTGCTACTAGGAAACTGAGCTGGCTCATGCCTGCACCATCCTGCAAATGTGGGAAGCTCTTCTTTTCCTTAAGCCTAAGCTGCAGCCCTACAGCTGGAAAGTGGGTCTGACTTGGGGGGAGTGGTAGCTTAGCTAATCAATTTATATGCTGAATAACCTACAAGCAAATAAAATTTGCTTTTTGAAGGTGCGCATTGACTTGTCCCAGGAGGATTTAATAAAAGGTTTTGCACAATGGTAAGTAATCATCTCCATACTTCCAAACCCTGCCCATTGCTTTGCTGGGAGCATGSATGACTGCTGTGGGGGTGCTGGTAACTGAGCTGTGTTTGGGTAAGCAAGAAGAATATTTGACCTGCAAAGGCAGGACTAACTTGAGCTAATCTGGGGGTTCTATCTAAATTCTGTGTTAATCCATTGGCTGTGCAGTGCCTGCCCTGTGAGACAGCTTTAATGAGATGCCTGTGTCAATTATAGTCTTCAGCATATTTTAAATTGCCATAAAAGCCACAGGGGCACATAAGAATTTTGTTTATTAAAGTAACCTTGCAACAAATTTTAACGTGGATAAAGATCTTAAYTAAATAYTCTGATCAGCAATATATAYATATGATAAAACTTTAATTACAAAGCATTTATAGAAACTATTATAATAAGCCACTTACAGTTTTGCCTATATGTTCATTGTGGTTCTGAGGTTTGTATGTTCATTGGTCTGAGGCAGCACAGAGAACCAGGCCTGGGTGTTTTTTCACTTGTGTCTTTAGCTAATGGCTGGAGCTCTTCCTTCTTTCTCCTTCAGTGGAGCCTGAGGAATGCAGTGTGGGTAGTCCAGGAGCTTGCCATCCATACAGGCAGTGAGCCAATATTCCAACAGGAAAACCACATTTCCCTGGCCAGCTTGTGTGTGCATCTCAGGGCAATTATGGGAAGAGGAAAAAAGGACAAACCCAAAGCTTCTGGTGAAGAGCTGAAGTTTGAGGTCATCTCTGGAGCCTCCTTTGCTGGGCTGCCTGTGTAGCACAAGCAATAAAGCAGCCCAAGTTCTCTACTGTGCCAGTTAAAACTGCAAAGAAAGTCTTCAGCTACTGTAGTAACTTATTGTGTGTGTCTTGCAGGTATGAGCTGACAAGAAGCAGACGCAGGAAGATCTGATTTCTTCTCGTACTTAAGTTACTAATTTTTCAAYTTTATATGGATGTACATATCTCTTGTAATTAATGTGTTTTGCACAGTCATTGCAAATTTGAAGCAGGCTCCAGCTCAKGACATGCAAATTTAATGATCCTATTTGGGGATTAGTTCTCACTGAAGTTAAACGTATTTTCCCCCACACAGGGAATAATTTGTCCTTAACTAGTAAGTCCTTTATTTTTGCTATTTCTGCAAATTGCCCCTTAAAGGACCTTTAAGTGTGAATCCTCTCTTAAAGAAGGGTTGTACCTGGGGATATTTTAGACTGTCAGCCAAGTGTCATTACTTTGCTTGGCAGTCTGATGTCCACAGAAKCTTGTTCATGTTGTTTTAACATGGAAGTGTTGTACTTTTAAAAGAATACATTTTGAAACAGCATTCTTCAGCTGTAGGGCTACAGAACCTGTTAAAAGAGAAACTCTTTAACACTAAAATAGCAATTATTTTTTGACAAACTAAGAAGTTTTATTCCACTGTTCAGAAGTACCTTAGCTGGCTGTGGCTGCAGGTATGTAAATAAYGAGCTTCCAAAAGCAGAAAGATGAGTTAACCAAGATGTCATTAAGGTTTTAGTTTGTGACGCTTTAACAGGTTTTGTCCTTTGTTACAGTACATTTCAAAATCTTGTAAACCCAGATTCTGAGGAACAGCAAAGTTTTGTAAACTAARCTTTATTAACATTAAGGCAAAGTACTTTTGGAAGCTTGGTGTACTTGTTTCTGTACAATAAACTTCTAATTGTCTTGCATAAGAGACTTGATCTATTCCTTTATAAAACTGACTTTTGAAATACCACCATAGTAACTTCATGCAAGTATTTTTGACCTTGATTACATGAATCCAGTCTGCCTCAGTCCATAACCAGAGACAATACTCAGTAACATGTTCCCATCCAAAACTGATCTGGAAATGTGAACAGACTCTCCAGAAAGCCAAGATGGGCAAATGCTGAAGGTGTAATGGCTATGGCAGTTAGGGCATCTTTACCTCATACATACTGTGTCAGCAACATTCAGAATGCTCAGTGGTTAAAGTTTGCCTGGTGGTGTGCTGGGTGCTGTTTCCTGGATTGATACAGATTATATTGGTTTTCTCTCTGGGAGAGAGTAGACCAGTTGCTAGCAGTTAAAGTTTCTCCTAAATTGAACAAGAATTAAGAAAAAATTTTAAAAATGGAGCAACTTTTATTTTTGTYAAAAAATCTGGAAGTGTTGCTTAGGATAACAGTGGTTGGAGGTAGCTGCGACATCATGTACACCAATAGGTACATTCACAAGTAAGAGAAATCTTGCTCAGGAAAAGCAGAGTCAGCCTTAACCAGCTCCCCATTTCAGGCTTTGCACTGCAGGTAAAATATCATCCATGTTACTGATCTCTGCAACAGAATGGAAAGCAAAAGGGTAAGGTCTATGTACCCAGAATACCTTCAAGTTCAACCAAAATTCTAACTTGAACAGCCAGTGAATTAAATAAACTCTTCAGACCTTTTAATGCTTTTGGACAAAATTGATTTAGCTTATAAGTAATGYGATTAAGTAAATGCAACCCCTTGTTCAATGAAAAGAAAGTATTTTGGTCACTTTCTGAGGAAAGGTGGAAAGAAGAGGAGATGATGCAAAAGGAAGCACTTTCCCTCACATCCTCCTCATGTTTTAGCACAGCAGGAGTAAACAAAACACTTGTTTAGAATTCCATGAGGAAGCATTGGCAAGTAGACAGTTACAACTGTTGCAAATATTACTCACCTAGAAGACACAGCAAATCTTGAATGAGAGCTTGAAAGGGTGGAAAGAAGCATTCATGTTCTTCAAGCTTATTGATGATACTGGAATGGAAAGTGAGACTGTCAGGTAAGAGGTGCAAGGACAGAGCAAGTTCATCTCTTTGACTGTTTTGTTGTGTGTCATGACTTCATGAAAACATTGCTACTTAGTATCTAACACCATGRACACCAGCGTTCTGTTCTCCAGTTCTGAACCCTGCAGGCACCAAGGAAGCTACATATACATTCTTCCTTTCCCCCTCACATGGCACCAGGTAGTCTGGGGCCTGGAACATTTGTCTGTGTATGCTAAATACACTGCCCAGGGGTGGTTGGTATAACTGCCTTGGAGGTGGAGCAAGAAATGCTTWGTTAGCAGCTGTGCTCCAGTTAAAACTGAGAAATGAGTGAAGAAAGGCTGAGGGAGTGAGTGTTGTTAACTCAGCATGTGGCAGACTTGCTGCCTGCTCCCTTTTTAGTTTGCCTGTAGAGCACATGCTGAATGCAAGTAGAGTCTGCTACCACCTAGATGTGGCTGTCATCTGTTGAAGTTACAACAGGATTTGTCCAGTTCCTAAATTATTTGTAGGCAGCTTGAGGCAACCCTGTCTTAGCAACTGGTGCACTTCAATACTACAGCTGAAACTTGCATCACTTTCTCTGCCCCACCCACGTGCAGGATTTGCCTCCTGATGAAAAACATTCCATAAAGGGTTGTTAGATTATATTATCCATGCAAACCAGAGTTTGTTTTGGAACCTGCTGGCCTCAATTCTTCCCTCTGTCAGCTTCATCCTTTTGAAAGGATTCAAGATTAGTTTCAAGCAGGACAGTAGTAATTAACACCTGTGCTGTCACAGCTCCCTGACTTGGTAACAAATGATGAAATGTTTCTCTCAGCATCAGTTTTTGCCAGTTCTCAATTTACTGCATTTGCTGTTTGAAGAATGGTCAGCAATGAACAACCCCACATACCTGTGGATGTCTTGGGTGCCCAGAAGCTGCTGTACCTGCTTAGCCACGTTRTTATTAAGGATGTCACATAGTTTCCCAACAGTATTCACTACCACAGTGGGTGGAGCTGAACTATCTGTGGAAAAACAAACACMTCATGATTCTTGTAACAGTAATAACAGGGAAGTATCTTAGACACTGTCAAATTCTTGCAGGTGCACAGATTCTATTTGTTTTTCATAGATCGAGGTACACACATTCCATCATTCACAGAAAACARTGTCCATGGTCAGAAATAAATAAATGTTAGCTAGAAATGGGGGATCTCTCATTAATCCTTTAGTGGCTAAAAAAATTTAGCAGAGCTGTGAGTGTTCACAGGAGAGAGGGTACTAAATTGCACCCTGTAATGCCGGTGGAAATCAGCCAACTGAAATTATATATAGAGAGAAGGAGTTGTTCATTAGGTTCTTATGACACAGCAGACACACTATAGGGGCTAGGCCAATAAGAAACCTGCTTAACAAATGTTTTGTTAACATCTAGAACTTGTTTTGGTATTGAATTTCAACCTGTTTTSAGTGCTGTGACTGTAGGTAGCAGGCTCCTTGTCCTTTTCTCTCCCAAAGACAGAACCAGGCTTGGACAAAGCATCTCCTGAGCTGCAATTATTAGAGGGACATAAGGTTTCCTCATCTCCCATGCTGGCTGCAGGCTGGAACACTGCTTCCCTCCTTGAATGAGGCTCAGCAGCCCAGGAGCCTTGCTCTGGGGCTTGACAKCCTACAGCCCAGCCCAACCTTTTAACCCAGGAGGAGCAGCAGCTGCTGYTCTCCACAAGTTCACACCAGAAGAGAAAGAACTAACTACACCTCTGAGTACTGACAGTTTATGACATTCAACTTATTTTGGTTTTAAAGTTTAGCAGTGTAAGATGGAACTTTTTAAGGACTGGACACAATCACACTTGAATGAATTACTCAGTAGAAATATACAGCAGAGGCTGAGTTATTTTCTTCCTTAAAATTGTTATCTTTCAAGTAGAYAATGAAAGACAATTATGAAGTCAGCTCATAGGAAACAAAGATTGGTAGAAAAAAATTTCTATTTCCTCTGTTAYTCCCTTCTGCTTCCCTCTTATTCCTCAGCTTACAAATAATGGGAATTTGCTATTTGAACTGAAAAGTKACAGGAACATATTTTTATCTTCCCAGTGAAGAAAACACCAAGTTAGTTCATTTCTCAACAGCTCAACATTATTTTCTATGAAGAGATCAACTTTTCATTTKTCTTCTTTCTTTGGAATGAAGTGAACAAACAGCAGGTGGCAAGTCTTTACCTAGTTCCAGAAGCTCATGGAGATTCCTCATGGCATTGGTCATTTCCCCCAGCTTTATGTAAACCTCATTCATCCGTGGATAAACACCATTCAGAGAATTCACATCAAACAGCTTCTGGAAGTGAGAGACTATGGCAGACAGGGTTGTCACGGAYGGTGTCTGACTGTTCTGGGGCAAACAGGAAGAACTCATCAGTGGTACTGCTTAAAAAGGCAAGGGTGCTTTTAACTGTGAAACTTTCTTAAAACAAGACTGAAGAAAAATGTGTGTAATTTCCCCTATTAAATCTCAGCCTTTCAAATGTTTTAAATTTGAAGACATAGTTTCAGTATTKTTCAGGCACAAAGATCCACCAAACTCAATAAACTCTTTTGAAAGCTTTCTTCTCTGTTGCTGAGAAGTAYATTTACATAGTCTCAGCACTGAGAGACAGAACAGGATAATTCCTATGACTATAGGGCAATGCAAATTCAATGCTGGTCAAGTGCCTTTGATTAAAGCAGTCCTCCCCAAGGTGAATTTTTCCATTATCTTAAAACAGTCTTTGACTTTTGAATGTCTCCAAACATTTGTTTCTTAAATGCTGCAAGGCTTTYAAATGCACCAATCTAATCACTGTGTGAAGGATGCATCCAAGAATTCCACAGTAATGTGTGATTATAAGCCCCTCGTAAAAATTACCTTTTCCTTATTCTCTAATTCTTCCAAAATTGTATCTACTATCAGCTGGAGGTCTTCAACTCGTACGGATTCTCTCTTATCCTGTGGATCTGCAGTGTTCCAAGGYAGCAATTCCAGAGACAGTTTTCTCAAGGACCTATGCAAATCCTTTTAAAAGAAGGGAGGGGAGCCAGCTTATTTCAGAAACTGCCTGAAGTTATTTTTATCATAGAAAGAAGCATTTTTCTGTTTCTCATATGCAGTAACARTCCAGCACTGGAGAGGGTAAGGTTTTAGTTTTCATGGAATTTAAAAACAGTTTCTTGCTGACATTGTGTGATTTGGAAAAAACAGTTACAGTCAAAAAATACTATACTTGCTATGTATTACAGTTTCAGTGAAATGGGAAATATTGGTCAGAAAGAGATTGGCTTTAAACAAAACTATTTCATTTGTATTTGGATCAAAAAGTCACTGTTCTGGCCAGACAAAAGGAAGGAACAGAATGCACATCATTAACATGCGAAGTCTAGACTCTAAAGCTTAAGTGTCAGTTAGCAAAAACATACAAAAGATTCACAGAGGATCATCTCTAGTACATATTTCACATGAACAGCAGAATTATTTGTAAAATTTAATACTAAGTAAGGCAATAACAAAAGCTACACATAAAACCCCCCACAACCACACACAGGGTGGGGATAGAGAAGCAGTGAACAGATGGAAGGAGGACCCAGAAGCAGAGTGTTGTTACCTTCAGAGCCACTAGCTGATCTGCCCACATTTCTATAGTGAGTGGAAGGTGATCAAATCGACATCCCTGTCCATTCTCTTTAATGTCATTTTGCACTGGACCTTTGCTGGGCCGGAATATTAATGGAGGAGCTCTAGGGCTTTGCAAAACAGAATCAATACGGGACAAAACCTTCAACAACAAATAACAAATGTTATTGCTCAACTTCGTATGACATTTTGTAATAAAATCCCCTCTATTGCAGTCATGATTGTCTAAAAATAAACGCTTAAATAGCTCCAATATTACTATGGATTCATTTTACACATGCATTCATGCATGCAACATACAACATGCAATAGATTCAAAGACTTAAACACATACTAGATAGAAGATGTGTAAAAGTAATGCAAATACATACTTCCCTTTGAGGCATATTTAACATTTATCCACTCGAGATATTGTTACTTCCACAGTTTACATTTAGCTAAATTTTATTATATTCAGGCTTTTTAATTCAAAGAAAAATTAAAGCCACTATCGCCCAAGATCTTGAATGAATCCCATCCTGAACAGACTTCAGCTATATCATAGTTGACAGCCTAGTGTCTGCTGCCTTGCTGTGTTTTCAGGTAGTTTACACTGAGATAGAACATGAACCAGCCGACATGAACTGTGAAATCCAGACCATGGCTAATCTTGCACGAAGGCTTTGATAGGCATTCTTAGTCTCAAACCAGCACACTCCAGTTTACACAGCAAAAGAGAAATTGTAAAATGCTTCATTGTAACAGCGTTAGAAACATGCAGGACAGATACAAGTTGGATACCTGCAAGTATTGCTGGCAGGCTGCCTGCTGCTCATCCACTCCYGCAGCTCTCCCAGAATCTTTCTTTTCTTCACTTTTTTCTCCGGTCCTGCTCCCTGAAGACCTACACAAAATACAAACAGTGGGTCACACAARCAGCCTTAGCAGGAGATGGTACCTCTTAGCTTGATGAAAGGACCAGGTGTGTAGCAGCTACACTCACACCTACAAACAAATATCCACTTTATAGTGCTCGTTATTATGCTGGCCATTAAAATTYCATCAGACCCAAGTAGCACAGACTGACAACAAAATACCTAATGCAAATATCATTAATTTATCTCAAGTCTCCAGGCCTGAGGCTATGCCACACTGCATGCTGATTTAAAAGGGACACCACCAGTTTTTCAGTTGTTAGAGTTCTACTATGACTGAAGACTTAATATCCAGAATTTTACTCAAAAGGTTCAAATTCCAAGCTGAGTTGTTACCCATTTCTGCTGGAACATCTTTCCTAGCTTGCTATACAAAGCTCACTACTCTTCTTCATCTAAATCATACCCACTGCATGAGAGAAAAGACCACTTAAATATACACAATGTGTACATTTATTTTAAAGTTTAAGTGGTATCTTTTTCAGACTACAAAATATTTAGCATTCAGTATACACATGCACAAATGACTAAGTGAAATTACAAATAAAAACACTTTGTTCATACTGGATCTTAAATACCTTCAATGTATTTTCTTAGCAATATTTCAGAAAAAAAATCTAGTCAATTTCTAAGAATAATATGGATACAACTTCAGTAGCTGCAACATTTTGCCAACTCACACTTTCATCAAYAATGAAACCAGTAGGTTCCTTTACAGCTCATGGAAGCAGCAAACACCACAGATGGCCCTGTACATATTGCCTGCAAAAGCACTCAAATCAAATCCAGAAAGACAAAATTAAATTAAAAAGGCACACACTGCTGTGCTCCCATTTGGAGACCTTGCTGTCACTTTAGAACTATAGAGGGCTTTAGAGGTCCAGCAGCACTTGCTGCCCATAACCAGGCTCCAAAGAACGCTGATAAGGCACATGCTTTATAAGCTACCCTCCAAATTATGGGTTACAGAGTAACTTTGCCCTTAGATGGTCAAAGAAGTCATGAAAGTTACTGAAAAAATATACTTACTGTATCATTTTCTTTAAAGTTTTCTGTAGTTTCTTCACTTGGTGCTTGTAAAATTTAAATTCCTGTGCAGTTGGTCTGCTAGAAAGAAAAAGTACCAAGTTACATGTCTTCAGTTGGAAGGCATCCATAAAATTCATCCAAGCGAAAAAGTAACAAAGCTTTGCCAGTGCCAAAACATCATTCTGGAAATTAAATTCTGCTACATTTCCACATGACAACAGCAATAAAGAGCAAACTGACCATTAGCAGCTGTTATTAACAGCATAGGGAGGACAATGTGGCTGTTGCTGCCATATACTGTTTCTTTGATCGCAGATTTCACACTTCACTTTTACAATTGCTGATGCTTTGTAAAGCAAGGTCTCCTGAAATGGCCTTACAAAGGATGATACTTATCCTTTCTCACCTTATTTCCAAATCCTTCTTCAGATTTATATTTTCAAGCAAAAGCTGTTCGTTCTTGGCTTTTGTTTCAGTAAGTTGTTTCTGGAAAGACTGCAACATAGACTGGGTTATTTCTTTCACTCATATCGTAATGAACAAGGTTCAACAAATGCGCAATTTTAAGAAGGGTTCCCAATTGCCTGGACAGCAAAACAGCATGGATGAGGAGTCAGGTGATTGAGACCAAGAGCCTGGTGCATTAGACCCCAGGTGCAGACCTGTGACTAAGGATGTCTATGCAATCCCCAGAAGACTCACAGCATTTTGCCGAGTCTTTGCACAAGGACAGGCAACTCTGCCCAGAGAGGTTACAAGTTCAGAAGATGTGACAAGAACAAGGGACACAAATCAAACATGTTTATGTTTTTGTGTGCCTCTTGGAGGGTTACTACTGACTTACTCCTGRCAGTTCCATACCGTAAGCAGTGCTTTGTAATTAGGAGTAGCATCTAGATTTAAGAATTCTTCCTTGTTTTTTACTTCTCTCTGCACCTGGTCTTCGTCTTCTTTATACTGCCTATTGAGAAAAATAAATTGCTTCAGCTTACTGCAATTCAATTAGCTCAAAAATTTAAGTTGGTTTAGTCAGCAGTTATGGATGGTAATAATGTTTCCATAAACTATGAAGTAAATAGAATAGAAATTCTGCATGAAGATCCACTGCTCTAATTTCTGGGAAAGCTGTTTCATATGCTAATTAAGTGCACTTGTCCACAAGAGAAACTCCAGTACAAGCAAATCCCATTTCATTTTTCTCAACAGTAGTCTCAAGCTATAGGAATGTCTCAGGTATCTGTTTGTGGCTTTGTGCTGTGTAGGCATTGGGATAGAGCTGAAAACCTTTAGTTTTGGGAGATCAACCAGCTGAGCACAGCTAATGCAGCAATTCTGCCTGTGAACCACGGCAAAAGAGAAAAGGGGAAAAAAAATAAGCAAAGACTTATATACCTTCAATACTTCCTAACCAAACTTCCTAACAGTCCTGGTCCCCTGACCGAGAAGCTGCTTAGCCTGACTGCCAGTTATATTCTGGAAAAATCCAAATTTCCATGACCATTACAACCCTTTGCTGTTTCTTAAGTGCTARTGATATCTGGAACACAGAATATTTACCACTACAAGATTTAAGAACTAATCTTAACTATTTAAGATTTAAGGGCTAAGAAAATTTTGAACAATAGAACTGTGAGACATTCAATGAGACCTACCTCAGCTCCTTTTTAATCTGACTAATCTGAGATTCATAATAATCAATTAGASAAAGGTACCTGAAGAAAGGAAAAATGTTAATTTTTTAATTTCAGATATTCTCAAAAAACTCATACTGTGACCAACCCAGAAGAACAGGTCAGCTTATACAGCTGCACTTTATGTTGGAAGTGGCTGCTCCAAACAGTGGGGTTTCTTTCGTACCAAACAAACATGGTCACACTTTGCCAAAATAGAGAAGTAGAGACATTAAATTTTTACTAGTTTAGAAGTAGCAAAATATTCAAGAGGGGAAAAAAGCTAAATTTGCCCACCAGCCTCCTCATCTTGTGTTTACGGTTACCCAGCAAGATAATAGAGAATTACAGTTAAAATAAGCACTGAGATTGTTTGGGAGAGACACATGAAAGAGCACAGGGAAGCAAATTCAGGGATCCTTCCTCTCATGCTCAAGGAAAAAGCTGAGCACACACAGTCCCTCTTAAAAGCTTCCCAGGTAACCATTGCTGGCCAGGCCTAGAAGGCCAGGTGATACCAGCACAATAAAACAATGGCTACGTGGGGCCTAGGAATTGGCAAATGTCTGATTGTAGCAGAGCTATGGAAATCCTACCAGCAAGAGACACACCTGTATGATACTCACAGAACTTACCGGAAAGCACTTGGAAGCTCGCAGCAAGCCTGAAATCAGCAGGCAAAGATCACTTCCCAAAACTGGAAGGGCTCTTTTTGAGGGATGGGGATGGTGTTTGTTGGGAGTTTTGTTTGTTTTCAATTTACATTTTTAAATGTTAGAATCCTGGGATGAAACCATCCTAGCAGACACTGCAGWTACAGAGCAGAGTGAATCATTCCCTTCCCTTTGCTGACATCTAGTGTGGGTAGTGGGTGGCAATTTTTAAATTTTGGGCATGGATTTATCCAGCTTATAGTTTCACAAAAGAAAAATATCACTGCACTTAGGGCACCTTTCCCAGAATTMATATTTCATCTTGTATTCCTAAGGTCTCCAGATTATTTTTTTTTCACGTATAAATATCAAGAGGCATCAAAGAATCACTTACCGCTGATCCAGGAGAGACCTGGGAGCTCTTTTGCAAAACTGACAAAACATTTTGTTTTGTGTGGCAACTCTCTGCCGCTCCTCCATCCCAATCTTCCTCAGCTCCTTCTGCAAATGGGCAATAATCTCTTCTTGTTCTTGCAGCTTTTCCTGTTGTTGTTGGTATTTTAACTGTGAACAGGCAATGGGAGCATTATTGAGTGGTTCTGACCCAAGCCCAGCTACACACTTGTCCCAAGGAGAATGGGCACTTGGGGTTTAGCCATGCTAGAGGCACAATGAAAGAGGTATTTTTCTAAATTGTTTCTGGAAAATTCTGCATAGTTAGAAAAAAACTTACCTATAAATAGTGTGCTAACCCAATGGTCCAAGACCCATGTTTATTTAAATCAATGTAAGTATTTTTAAACCTTTCAGAAGTGAAAAGTTTGAATCCTCAGGCACTGCTATCCGAATTACCTGTGACGCCTGTTGGTCTTTTTGAAGTTCTTTGACTTGGTTCTGCTGCTGGCATGCTTTAGCTATYGCTTCATCTTCCAGCTGACAAATTTTGGCCTTAACATTTTTCACCACAATTTCCAATTCTTTTGCCCGCTGTTCTTGACGAGATGCCCGACCTTGCTCCAGTCGTACCACATCTCTGAAAAAAGAAATAAATCCTTGACTTTAAATTAAACTCATTTCACTAAAGGCAGTGCAGGAAGCAGACACCTGACATTGTGTGATGACATTTGATAATATCCTGTAGCAGCAGGTATGGGAAATATGCTGGTATGAGAAGAGGCAGATGAAATAATGGAAGAGCTCGAAAGGAACTGGGACAACATTGCTGCATATTGGACAATAACCTCAGGAAAAAGGTCTTAGGCCTCTGGTGAGACAAGACCTCCAYCAGGCAGGAGAAGCACACTGATAACACTTTTACTCTGCATTAGCAGGTAAATTCCTTCCAYTGTATCTTACCTAAGACATCGATTTGCCTCCATAAGTCCCTGCATCACCTTCTGCTGCCGCTCAATGTCTTCTGCCAGTGTTTTTAATGCAAGTCTTATTCCTTGAGAAGACTGACCGTCTAGGACAATCATATCTGGAAATACACAACATAAGTAAAGCACAATGAAAGGTTTTTAGCAGCCCAAGAAGATTGCCTGTCTGCTGCCATTTGGAAGTGACAGCTTTGGAGATGCCTTATGAATTTWGGCATACTGTTTCCAAATGAAAAAGGGGCAAAATTACATTTCCTTACCTGAGGTATTTCTGTTGCTTTGGGGSACAAAAAGACTCACAGGTTTCAACCCATGACGCATTAATATCTTGTTTAGGTTTTCCCACTCCACCCTCTCCTGCTGCAACTGGGAGAAGGAGAAAAAGAGGCAGAAACCTGAGCTCTTCACATCAGCTGTGCAAGCAGTAGAAGGTACCAAATGCCCCCCAAATTAAAGAAAACCAACCCCAAACCCCTCTACAGGAGGCCACTACAGGAGAGCTTGTGACAAGCTCCAAYAGGATCTGCAACACACACTGGGGAAAAAGCGTACTTAACACAAAGCATGATCAGTTTTCCTGATCCCTATTAGAGAGCGAAACACGCGCAGTGAGTAAAATTCGCCTCTTTAGGAAACGCAAACCACCGGCCCTCGGGTCCCTCCAACGCACCCGGGGCGCAGCGGCCCCGCCGCGAGCGGWGCCCTCAGGGAGGCGGCGGCGGCGGCTCGGGGGGTTCACCGACTGTTCCACCCCGTTTTGTCCCGCTCCAGCCACCCAGCAGCGACACCCGGGGCCGGCAGAGTACCTCAGTCATGGCGGGGCCGGAGAGCGCCGTGCTGCAGGCCGCGGGGCCGCTCGGGCGGGAGCGGAGCGGCGGGAGCGGCCGTGAGGGGGAGCGCGGGGCGGCGCTGCGCGGGCACCGCCATCTTGCGGCGCGGGAGGCCAGGGGAGGAGACCGGGCGGAGGTAGGAGCGGGGGCGCGGCAGCGGGGCTCGGACAGACGGAAAAATAAAGAAAGGAGGAAAAGGAAAGAAGCTCGCTGTCTGCGGTAACGGTGGGGGGAGAGCTGGTGTCCCCCGAGTTCATGCGCTTCCCGGTACGCCGCCCCGCGATGAGCGCTGCCGGGATTAGGTGGATGCTACGGGAGCCGTAATCCCAGCCTGGTTTTCAGAACGAGCCTTTCCGTATAAACGAGTAACATCGCCTTGGGCTGCTGATTTGGTGAATAGAGGCGGTGGGCGTAGGAGCGATGTGTKTCCCTGGTTGGGAGCCAGCGCGGGGCTGGAGGCGCCGCACCCGCTCCCCCCGGAGCAGCGCAGCTTTCCCTTGGGACGCGGGTGGGATCGGCTGGCCTTTGGGAAACACCCCTGCTCTGGAGTCTGGGCTCGGGCTTGATTTAAAATTAAAGTGTATTACTTCATTACAATGATTTGAAGGGGGRAAACCCCCCGGAATTTGTGTGTTCCGGCACGCTTCCTAATCCTTTCAGCACTGGTCCTAAACGATGCCTAAAATCCACGCCGCAGGAYTGCGGCCTGCCCGGGGTGATGGAGGCTCCGGGCGCTCTGTGGACACCTCTTCTGGCATCTCCTCTGTGCCCGAGGCTGCTCCTTGTGCTGATCCCTGCCGGGGACACSCCTGGCTCTGTCCCGAGTCCCCGCGCCCGCTCCTTGGAGGAGAAGAGGGAATTATTCCCTGCCTGATTCCCACCGTGTGCCCGGGAATGCCGCCGTCACAGAGACAGAAACTTCAGAAGCGGCCAAAACAATCTCCTCGGCATTTATTACCACGTGCTATTATTTGTTTGCTCATTGATAGGCACAGACAAGGCAGATGATGACGTTAATTAGTGAAAGTAATRCATTAAAAATCAGTGGTTGTAGAACACAGTCTAAAAACCTCTTAAGTAAGAAATTAGTTTATTTGTGGTTCACATAGATTTTGTGACTGAATTGCCAAGTCAAATTTAGTAACACGCTTGCTGAAAGCTGCTGCAGTGGTTTARAAAATGAGGAGGTAAAATTACTGCCTGTGCTGTTTCCTAATCCCAAATTCATTATGGTCTGGGACTGAGATGGGCAGCTCTGGATTGCATTCCTGCTTCAGGCAGGTTGTTCATTTCTAAACTTTGTCGCACAAATCAGGCAGTCCATTTTTCTATCCAGTAACTGACAAAGTTATGAGGGGCTAGTAAATTTAGTTAGGATAAACTGCACTTACTCATTTTGTAAAAATTCATATTTTAAAAAATATATTGGCTTTTCTGTCTTAGAAGAAAGATGGTTGTGTTTTAAGTGTTTTTATTTCATCATGTACAAGACCGCTAGCACTGCATGCTGTTTAATGATGCTTTTAATATTGTCCTTTATCTTAACTGGAGAAAATGATGAAACTTTTGACCTYAGTGCTTCTCTGCTACTATTCTGCTTTTCTATTTTTTCTTGCTGCTAATTGGATTAAAAGCTCTCTTGGCTTCTATGGCATCCGGTGAGGAGATTACTGTCTGTGAAGATGAAGTAAGGTAAAAAATCAGAACTGTGATATGAGCAGATTTGGAAAGATATCCACAGTTCCAGTGATCACATAAGGCTGTATCTAAAATTTTAAAATTACTTAAATTAAAGGGTATCTTGCCAGATCTCTTCCTCTCTGAGTGTTTGTGTGTGCAGAGTTGCATATCTGAATGATGTAAGTAGTGTTTATGAGATTACAGACAAACCTGCTAACACAGGAAATAGCTAAATTGGTCATACTATTTTTTTTTAAGTCATAAAGGCTGAAACATGTTATTTGAGACCAATCAAATGATTTATTTTAATGCCTACCAAGAAACAGCAGAACTGTCCAGGAGCATCTTAAAATGAAATAYACTTTTTGTGGCCTGTTGTCACCTGAAATGGGAGTTTTAGAGGTTAGATGGGTAGCTAACCGTCTTTGTACTGTTTGTCAAAGTGAGTCTGTTTAACTGTCTGTTTATATTTTGTTTTGTCCTATCTGAATGTTTGAAAAACATGAAAATATATGCAGCTCTGTAAGCTTATTCAAGTCTCATTTTTAATTTGCAAAAAGTGACTGGCCCAGAAGCAGTAAAGCTTTGAACTGCAGACATCAGGAATTGAACTTTCAACGACAATTAATTTACTTTGTTGGTTTCTCCTTAGGTCTCGGTACAGCCACTTAGAGAAGATGACAGATTTGGTGGCTGTTTGGGAAGTAGCTTTAAGTGATGGTGTTCATAAGATTGAATTTGAACATGGGACCACTTCAGGAAAGCGTGTTGTCTATGTTGATGGAAAGGTGAAATTGCTATGTGCTCAAAGTTCACTGTTATACAGAATACCTAAGTGCACTTCCATGCAACACACATCACAACAAATAAAAGACTAATAAATGCAAGTGAGGTACACTCAGTTAATTACCTAATTTAATAAAGTGCATCATTCTTTTTTTCAGTTCCAGTTAAGGTGTGAGCATTCATGAAGTGCTTTGCTGTCCTTKGGCAGAGGCACTCTGTGCATACAAACCACCGTGTACGCATTCATTCCCAAACAATAGTTCAGTACTGAGCTGTCTCCTGAGTTCTAGTTCAATTTTGTAATATTAAAACATGCACTCAGGTTTTTCAATTAATACCCCGTCTTTGTTTTTTTTTTTCTACAGGAAGAAATAAGAAGGGAATGGATGTTTAAATTAGTGGGTAAAGAAACATTCACTGTTGGAGCTACTAAAACTAAAGCTGCTATTAACATTGATGCAGTCAGTGGCTTTGCATATGAATATACTTTGGAGATCAATGGAAAGAGTCTCAAGCARCATATAGAGAACAGGTTAAAAACAACCAATACTTGGATACTGAACTTGGGAGGTACAGACTATAGAATTGTTTTAGGTAAGTAAATATCGAGGGACTACATGTTGCTTTTGAATAAACTTGTGTGCATTTAAAAACTGTTAATTAAGAGAAAGAACAGTTCAGTGGGTAGCACTGATACAGTATAAAATCCTGGGGAATTTGGAAGTTTGGAATGAGATGCCAAAGACAGTCTGAAAAATAATGGTCTAGTTATACATGTGTGAGCCTACAGCAGCATGGTCTAGATTTGGGAAAAAAAAAAAAAAAAACAAAAACCAAAAAGAAAAAAGGTTGGGAGGCATTACTGCTGCCACATCCGTAGAGCTGCCCTAGAGCAAGGCAGTTCTCCAGGTGAAGCCTGTTACAGAAGTTTTATCTGCATTGTGATGAAACCTCATGCATATCTAAGTTTGTTCAGCAGGCAACCAGGCTTTCCATCCAAAAATCATCAGCCAAGGTCAAGAAATCTTCATATCTGAAGTGCAGCAATGTTATTCCACATTTTTGATAGATGGATGAGCATCCTTTTTTCTTCATCACTTCTTTCTACATTTAAACTAAAACCTTCTGATGATGTTCTTTCACTTTCTTAATAACAAGGCAATACATTACTTCTCTTCTTCCACCCCTTTCCCAGYTACATTACAAGCAGGTGGAGGAAGGGATCCCTTGAGGAATTTGGAATTTGGACATCCCTTGAGGTTCACGGCATCTAGTGGGAAAACTTCCACTTGGGCATTGCTGTATGGTTAGAATTGGAGACAAGAGATCTCAGACTATGATTTCTTCTTAAACCTCAGGACAGAATGAATTGCCCTAAGATGAAGGGGAGCAGTGAAGAAAGACAGTTTTAGTGCCAGAAACAGATAAGTCTCTTTACAGAATTTTAATCTCCCTATGCTTACTGGAAAGGCAAGCAGGTTCAGCTCTCTGCTGATGTTGTGTGAATGACAGTGTCAGTAAAGGGAATTCTAGAGCAAAGGAACTTTAGGAGGATGTGCTGGGAGAAGTAAAAGAATATTCTGTTTCAAATGCAAAAAAAAGATTGATATTTAAAGTGCTACTTGGTGTTAAGAGTATGAACAGTTYGATGGATATTAAATAATGCTGCTTTTGAGTGAAATTGACCTGGAAAAAGAGCTAAGAGCTTTATTGAATAAACAGGAAATAATWAGCAGAAACAGTTTTCTGTCTTTTMGTTTTTTCAGTTTAAGACTGTCAGTTTCTCTGGCACTCTTCAGAACAACAGTGTTAATATCCAGGRTTAGGGAGGGGTAAAAATGTACCTTCAAAACAAAACTTGACAACAGAGCCTCCTCTCTCTCTCCAATGTGAGAGCAAACCCTGGGGCTYAGGTACTATGGCCACTTAGAAACTTCTTTTGGAAATTGAAAATAAAATTCAACAGTAGATTTTTGAAATCCCTAGATCCTTGTTTGTAGGGAGAAAAAACACCTTGTTCTTTCTACTTTCTGATTCCCTTTTCYTTCACAGAAAAGGACACTATGGATGTGTGGTGCAACGGTGAGAAAATGGAAACAGCGGTATGTGATCCCTTCCAAAGGCTCTTCCCAGGCCGTGGATACGTAACCAAAGCCTGGCAAAATAAGCCCCAGAGGCACACACTACCTGTGTTTACCAAAGAGGCTGAGGTAGCCAGGATGCTCCTGGTCTGTTCCAAATATATTTTTTAACAGGCAGTATTTCAGTTCAGATGCCAAACATCTGTTTATTTAAAAGGATGAATTATACTTTTGTTTACCCTTTTTAGACAAACAAGAAATCTGGGTCGGTTGTCCAGGGTTCTTAGGGAGAAATCTTTCAGGGGAGTGGGAAGGATCTGTGTTTGATGCAGCATATAGAGCCASTGCATCCAAACCTGCTTGTGCTAGTGGTGAGTGGAAGCTAAACACATGTAATCTGAGATGATTCGTGATTTTTTTCTATCTAGAGATGTTTCTAATACTAAGGGCTTAAGAGCCTCTTGGAACAAATCAAATCTTTTAYCTTTTTGTCACATTTGCAATAATTTTTAGAGCAGGCTGAAAGAAGGTTTAATCTGTTTGGTGTGTTTTTGCCTTATGATGGCTCTCAATGTGCATTMTAGGTAGGTTTCCCCATCCTTGAAGGATGTGCTTTCTCACCAGAGGTGTCAAAGTGGTTACTACTACCACAAGGATACCCCTGGATAAGTACAATTGTAAAATCAACAGTTCTGCTACACCTGAGAATAGGATGAAAAGACTGAATGTCTGTTTAGTAATCARGGGAAGAAACCTCTCTCAGTAAATCAAGACTTCTGCTCCCGATGGCTCAGCCTTTTCTATAATGTATTGAAAGCATTCAGAGGTGTTCTTGCAARCTGTGAGTGCATGTTTAGTGCTACACTGGGCTGCCATTAGATCAGCACACAAACTGTTCTGCTCTCACAAACATCATGACAATAACACAGCCATGCCTTGCAAAATCTGTAACAGGAAACTAGATTACTGTAGCAGATGTGTATCCAAGGTACACAGGGACCTGCTGAGCAGGCATCCTAAATACTTCACCTTTTACTGCCACTTCAGCACAGGTTTGTGTGGAACCTACTSGCTGTGCAGCACAACTCAGCAGGATGCTGCCTTTTTGATTTTTGTTCACTGACATGAATCAGTAATACTAATTCACAAACTCCAACTTTATCTTTTCTGATTGTGTAAAATTTTCATCATCATCGATACCCACAAATCTTTAACTGGGCACCTTGACAAAGCCCTGCCCGAGATTCAGCAGCTTTGTTCAGCTTTCAGGCAGTATKTGTCATAGGTACCTAAAGCTCCTGTAATTGTGGGAACTGCAAGTGATCTTGACATCGATGCACTTGAACTTTTCATTTATTAAAATACCACTTTTGTTTTTATTCTTTTCTCCTTTCTCCCAGGGTGAATTTGTGGAAGATGGGACTGAAACTCATTTTACTGTTGCTGATCATGGCTGTTGCATTAAGGCTGTCAGTAGTGGGAAACGAAAGGAAGGAATTATTCATACCCTTATTGTGGACAACAGAGAAATCCCAGAGGCTGTGGAATAGCCTCTGGTTAACTGATTATGCTAGGACTAAGATCAGGAATTTTCAATTACTGTGGTAATTATTTTAATATGTACTACTTGGTACATCTAGTTTGTGCTGGGTTYATTTTATAGTTTCTGTATATGAAATTATTCTTTGAGGACCAGATGAAAATAATTATGTACAACCTMTTACATTACCAGTTTTTAAACAAACTACATATCTATATTCAGAATGTATAGTATATCACTATGTGTGGAAAACACTGGTGAACTTAAATAGAAATTATACATCAGGAAAATAATCATGCTATAATAAAATGTAAGATAAATATTCAGTAACTGAATCCTTAACTGCAGGTGTATCTAGAGGGAGGAGAAAGCCTGTACTGGACACAGGTGGAAGATAAAGCTTTCTCTGTAATTATTTTTTCTATTAAATTGACGACAAACCTTTTCAGACACAGTTAAGAGGAGTTACTAAGTTAATWAAAAGGTCAATAATGAAATACATAGTTACCAATGCCTATGTTACAGCATTAAATTAATACTGGRTTATGAAAACTGTTCTTTATTCCCATCAGAAGCAAGATGTTACATTGTGCCAAAAATAACWTTCCTTTAGGTGTTCTGAAAACTGATGCTGGTTAGAAATTGTTGCAGTAGTTCAGAAACTCTGTACTGAGTTTTTTCAAAAAAGAAAAAAAAATCTTGCCATGAAACCCCCTTAAAAATTTCAAAAAAGAAAAAAAAATCTTGCCATGAAACCCCCTTAAAAATAGTGTCTCTTGAAGAATGTCAGAAAAATAACTTATCCTTATTCAGTGCTAACAAATTTTAAATCTACAACTGTGTTTTTATGGCAGTAATGTGTGAATCAAGAAACATGAGAAAAAAGGGACAGAAATAGAAAATTATTGGTTACTTAAAAGGAATAGTTAAAATAGGAATAAACAAATTCTCTTTTCAGAATTGCAGCATAGTTTTTAAGAGAACCTTTGGCTTTCTTAAGAGCAAAGCGCATGTGTTAGACACACTACAAAACTACCCTTTGCAACAGTAGGCATAGCTAATCTTAAAAGTAATTTTTTAAACCCCCAAAATATAAATGTATTAATCTAAAARTYTCTTTTGTAAYARTTAAAAAAAWWTCCACTTGTAACCTCAGAGTTCAAAATYAAACTTTTATAACTTAATTTCTTTTGGACTTGTGAATGGTTCCTAGCACTATGACTACTCACTAAGGAGTTGCAGGTGCAGTACAAGCAGRCTGGGAAATCATTAATAAATTATYTTWAAAAGTTTTATTAAATGCTAATTTCATCTGTGTTTTAGAGATCAGACTGCTGCCCATTATCAGGCTGCAGTACAGAAAGTTTCCATGTATCCAAGTTTTGGACTGAATCCCCTTTTACACTGGAATTACTGTAATACCTCTTAGGCTTTTCCGTGTATCTGCTTCAGGTCACTGCAGAAGCAAYGTGGGGATATCTGGCTATAAGGCTGACAATGTAATCTTTAAAAGATGTTGGTAAAGGTAGATTAATTGAAAATTAATTTCAAGCTGTAGCTTGAACCAGTTCTTTACTATTTCGTAACCTTTCAAAGAGATTGAAAKTTGCTGAGAAATCTGAAGCTCATATACAGTACAAATCACATTCCTTTGACTGAATAGAAAAATACAAGTTAACAGATAGTGAYATTCATACTTTTTATTTTGAATACAAGTATCTACAATGCTTGAAGTAACTAATAAAAATCGTAACAGCAACAACCGTAAGAAATCATGAAGCATTACCTCAMCTTTGTCTCAACTATGTATATATAAGAGCATGTCCCTAAGTGGAAAAGAACTTTTATCTGCTACATTCTCCTATTTTTAAGTCAAAAGAAAATTCAAGAGTCAAAAGGCACAGCCAAGTTTTTTCGTGTTTCCCTGACATATGCATATCTCAGATTAAGAAAATGCACTGGAAGAATAACAGTCTATGCAAACATCAAATGTACAGTCACAAGCTGAGATCACTTTAARGAATAAAGTGAATGACCAGGTAGATTAAACGTTAATGTTAAATGTTATACTGTATTTTGGGATGCTTTCCCTTCTGCTTCCATTCACAGGCAATTTTGTCCTAATCTCCYTAATGTATTAATTTACTCTTTTGTTCATGAGCATTTCAGAGTACTTTTCAGGAAACACTTTGAACATAGCACGTTACTGAGCAGAGCATCCTCTTAAATCTAAGCACTAAACTTTGTTCTCAGAGGGTCTTCATCATAGCTACAGATCTGCTTAATTCCCACTGAGGATGCTGCTGGTTTCCTCCAGGAGCTACATACCTTTCAGTCACTGGGGAACATGTCAGCAAATACTGTGGAAGGGCCCCAAAACCRTTGAAAATGACAAAGATGTCAGGAAGTTCATGATCTACTAAACTGTCATATAATGTAAGGCCACCCCTCTCCACTGCTGGTGGCATAATGTACCATGGCTGGCCTGTAGTGAAGGASCCTGTTACTACCTCAGCCTCAAACACGTACATTTTAGAATCCTTTCCACATGCAGTTTTACCCTTGCTTAGGTATCCTGGGTTCYTTGTAAAGTAGATGCCAGCTCCATATTTTTGTTCTGAAAAGAGAAAGGAAAGTTTTCAGAGGACAAAGCATTCAACAGTTGGTTCTTTCAGGGTGGTAGTCCCAAGAGACTGTGGCTTGATATGGGATTACAAGTGATGTTTCTGCTCAATGTGCGCCATCCTTTTGGAAGTTAATTTGCATGGAGTGGCCCTGATGCTTGCACTGACTGCCCACAAAAACCATCAGCAATGACAGCTGATGGCCATTMCAATGAACTGCTACTCCAGTGATAACTGTTCAGATTTAACTGTTAATCCAGTGATTGAATCAGCAAGGTCTAAAGTATTTATATAAAATAAGCATATGACAGACTTCAGTCCTGTATTAGGAACTCTCATAAACAACAAAGGCAGCAAGATCTTAATAATGCAMACTACAAAAAACTTTGAGATTTATAAAAGGACACAAAGTGCTGTTACAGTATCACATCTGTAGAAACAAAATTAAACCATCATCTTATTTGTTGCTTTTAAAGTGTGTAAATGTGCATGTACATTGCATAGTCAAAGAAAGGAAAATCTCCACTTTTTGAACAGTTTATTGCTTGAAATCCCAATTCTGCAATTGACATGCAAAATATCRCACCCTTCATCTACTGCAGGAGGAAGCACTAGAATAAATATTTATTCTCTCCCTTTCTGAAAGCATCTGTCCACTACAATATTTCATGGAGCTCACAATTTTCTTCCAAGTACTGTACTCTGAATGACAGCCTGAGCAGATTAGCTGCTGTCTCTGACCACACCTGATCTGAGCTGGAGGCTGGGCTGGATGACCCTCACAAGCAYCTTCCAGCCTCAGTGCTCTACAGTGCCTTTGAAAATGTTTTAAAGCACCATGTTTGCAGCAGGCAAATAAGGACACCTGACTTTCTTTAAAGAGTGATGCAATAAAATAAAACTTGGACATGGAATTACATGTACACTAATAATTCTGTCTAGTGCTTGGGCTAGGCTTGAATCCAGGCTTATCCTCCTAGAGWCTTGCTGGCTTTACAGTATCAGGAAGGAAAACCTTACTGTATATAGTAAAGTAAGCTCATACAAACCTAAATGCAWGTAAGAAACAGTTCTTGTTTAGGAATGCCATTTTTTTTTAATTTTATCCTAAATTTAGTAATCAGTCACTATTCATTTAGATTAAAGATGCCAAAGCAAGTTATTACCTGTTGGTGGAGAATACATCCTGTGAAATCCAGTTTGGCAAACTGAGCTACAGAACTGGGCAGGAACAATCTGGTACAACCTGTGGGTTGTTTTGGAGCTACCATCTACTTTTTTTTTCATTTGTTGGAATGCAAGAGATAGAAATGGATTATGTATCTTTTCAATCTGTAACATAAATAACAGCATAGTATAAGCAAATGGAGACCAATATCCATGAAATCCATAAATGCTTTTGTTCAGGCTACACTCTTCAATGCAMGAACCCTTGCTTTAGCTTATATGCATTGACCATATAGTGGATAAAGAACCTGAAATGTGCAACCTATCCAAAGAAAAAACCATATCACTATCCTGTACCTCCCATTCAAATCAATGGGAGTATTTCCTGATCTACTGACTACTTAAGTCATGCTGAAGAGATAGAGTCCACCTCCTGTTCAGTAAAGCACTAAGCATGATTCCAGCTTAAACATCATCAGATCAGAACTCTGGCAAATTCAGGTGGTAATTTTTGGTGTCAAGCTCACAAAAAGAAAACAGACACTGCTTTAGCGTCCTGGAATATTGTACTTAATTTACCCTACAATCTCATATGTCTCTAGAATCCTATAAATGGGCATTTGAAGCATGAAGTAAGAGGGAGAACATACAATACAATTAAAAAGGCTTCTCAGAATTTAATTTCTTTTTGAGTGATTACTTGCCTTATGTTTAAAATACTTTTCATTAGGAGTAAAGACAATCTGTTTCAAGGATTAGGCTGATTTGATCTTAACTTTTAAAAGCAATGCATTTAAATAGTTCATCTGAATTTTTTAAGCTTACATTACACATGTTAATTCAAATACAGGASCTGAGATTCAGTTTTTCCATGAATATCCTTACCCTGAGAACACGAAGTCCAGCTTTTTCAAACTCTTTCTGTCTGTCTTTAAACTCCTGCAGGTGGTTTTCTACTGGAGAAATCTGGATGTAGGCAGTGGTACTTGTCTTGTGAAAGTCTCCTTCTGAAAGCTGGACTGCTTCTGATTGGCCTGGGCATGAATGAGGAAGTAAAATTTTCAGGTATCATGTCTGAAGCAAAGGCAAGGGGGGCAGATCCACTAGTTGGTGGTTTAGTTAACAACAAAGAACRTCATATATTCTCTGAAGTAATGTCAGGCTAATATTGAAAGGCACTAGCCAATCTATATATATATATATATGTATTCTAAAAAATACATAAATATATTCTATTTTTCTGCATTTATTATAAARCCAGGGAGAGAGGAAACCAAAAAAAAGCAATTTATGTTCCTCATTACACCTCTCCACAGCTGAGCTTTCATATAAAGGTATCTATATTGAATGACTATCCAAACATGAATTAAAACTGACCACTCAGTAACTTTTTGTAATGCCACTAGTTGATATTGACTGTTCCTGACAGCCTAGGACTCTGCAGAAAATCTCCACTGCTGAGTCCTGCAACAGTAGTCCAGCTGTAGCCAACAAAAGAGCTCAGCAAAGGTGTGTCTTAATTAAGTGCAAATTTTGTAATTTGGCCTATTTACTTTACATACACATCGAGTAGAGCAGTTTCTCTTGTTCAGCTATAGTCTTCTCTTGCATACGAAGCAGTAATTCTTCAGCTGYGAGCACTGTGTCAATCAAAGCATCAGGAGGGCCCTGAAATTTYAGTCTCGCTTGTCCATCTCTCACTTCTTCTGACACACATACGCTGGAAGGCTGCTTTTGAAAGAGTTCTGCAAACTCCTTTTTACCAAGGCAAAAAATGTAGTTGTTTTCAATATTAGCATGATGATCCTCCTGAAGTTGCATTACACTTCGGAGCCACGATTCTGCTGCTTCCAGTGCTGTAGGTGTGCTCCCCCTAAGTTCAATCACAGGTTCACTRCTGGCAGTCTCTTTTGCAGTGTGACTGCCTGACTTTGTACCTGGAAGATATATTTTTTTTTAATACAAGTGCACTGGAAGAGTGAAGAGCTTTCAAACGCTGACACAAATTCCTACTTGTAATYCAAGCTGTACAGTGCAAGAAACACACTGCTCTTCTGGTATGCTCACAAAAGAGCTCAGCTACGAGGAGGTAAGGTGTCCAGGATCCACACACACATATATGGACAATTTATTTGCCTTCACTAAATGACTTCCAACAAGTTAAGCAATAACAATGAGTTTTGTTTTTAAATCTTAAAAGGGACTGCCCAGATCCTTTCCTATTAATGTAAAAAATACAAAGTGCTCACAAGTTTTTGCTTCCTCCCCTCCCCAAGACACTTAGGCAAATACTAAGTTCCCTGTTTTCAAGGAATGTGATTACAGATTCTCAAATCTGAAGTGCTCATTTACTGGAAATTCYCCTTCTGTTCATTACTTACTCAAAGGATTACTTTCATTTTCCAGTTTGTGTTTTGCCAAATRAAATTTTCTCCGGAGAATCTTGAAAGATAAAAAAGAGAAGTTTGCAATYTCTTTTGTCAAATATGCAATTCATCTCTTCAAAACTCCATTAGACAAGCAGTTTACACCCCCATCCCCAATTCTGAAATTGTTAATGCCAGCATTTTTCAGCTTTTCTCAAAATGTTATTCCTGATGATATCAAACGCATTCCTGTTCTGCATTTCCTAAGGTAACACACCTTACACACYGAATGGCACCAACTCCTTGTGGTTGTGGCATCTGGAACATATGCAATCACATAAGATAAAGGTGTTCATTACTTGCAGATTCATGCTTATGAATCCTTACTCAGTTTTAAAATTGAGACTATTCTCCTGCTTGTCTATTTGAAACCCTTCTATTATGTTATCTCRTACAATCTGTTGATAGTGTTTTGCCTTAGGAGCTCCATACAAAAAAGCCCAAAACTGACTGAAAATATTTCCTGAGGAGGAATGTTTGTTCCTTAATGAGTTAAAGAGTAGATTCTTATACATTCACTGACAGACATGAGAATTTTAAAGTTCTCTCCCCTTTTTACCAGACTACCACACTCACTCACTAGAGTGAAGACTTCTAGTTTACTGAAGAGAAAATAAATATTTGCAAAGACTGAGTATCTGTTAATRAGAGTAATAGTTTCATAAAGGGACCTGCTGCTCACAATTGTTGTTAGCACAGAATAGACTATCTTCATTTGTAGTTGTCTGTGGAAATATTTGCAGAGTTTTGTGTTTTCCTTATAGGTCATTAAAAACAATTTTTTTACCTCATAGTCATCAAGGTCATCTGGGCAAACAACAAGCTGCACTTCTCTCTTCTTCGTAGGGTGTYCCCTGCCAAAATTTAAAACTGCTTCAATCATGGTCTCTGCCACAATGTCAACAGGCAGCACTGGTGACCAATTTACTGGAAAAGAAACTGAGGCAGATGGGCGGTCCTGAAAGTAACCCAGGCATCTTTTCACTGCGACCCTTAATTCCTACAGGAAAAACAAAATGATTCAGTCCTCACATCATACAACATGAAAATCCATTAAAACCCAAAGTAAGTGCTCATCACCTCATATTGTAATGCTGGATGCCGGTACTGCAATACCACATGCAGTACAGACATACAGGGCAGCTCATGCTTTTTGGTTACTATGGGGTCCTTAAAACGTGTCAGATATCTCAGATGATGYTTAAGTTCCTCCTTTAAAGCTGAACCCCCTTTTTGCAGCACTCGTCTTGAAAACTGAGAGGAAGGCTCACCTCTTGCATTCACAGGGTTAACAATAGTTGTATTCTGCAAGGAAAGASTGCAAGTTTCAGTGTACTTCAAACTGACCATTTGCAAGCTTTGCCATTATAGAGAGCATTCTTTCTAAGGTCAATTCCTGTAAAAAGGCCTGACTGCCTCAGAGCAGCTGCTTGAGTTTTCCTACTACAGGCAGCACTGGCATATATGAAAGTATGCACCTTGCAGTGGCAGTTCAGAAACCAACAGCGTGCACAAAGCTGTTCCACTCATCTGAGTGTACTGCACACAATTATTACAGTCACCATCCAAGTGACCCACGTACCAATTATCAATAAGCAGGAGAGAACTGTGGATATGGCTGTCAACTCAGCCTTAGGGTAGCAAGGACACATCACCAAACTAGTGGTGTCCATACACATAAGAGAACTGCAAAGCTATGATTGTTTCCAACTCCCAGTGTAAAAAGCAGATTCCCATAGTAGGCSTCCTATATTTTAAATATGGAAAATGTAAAAAACTTGTTTACAGAATGCTGATAACAGCAGTAATTGCTCTGACCTTAATTGTCGAATATTATCTAAACACCCAAGAACACATTTTCCTCACAATCTTGAGGGCATGTGCATCTTTCAGTGCTRTAGAATTGGTTAATAAAATTCCTTGCAAGGTCCACTTTGTGATCCTTTGTTCTTACACCAAAAAATGAACTTCTATTCAATTACGATATTTCTTTAAAATAAAAATTAGGGAGTTTGTTTAAGRTATAGTATTTGCTAAAAGCAAATGCCATGCCTGTGATGTACCTTGCAAGCTAAGTGTTCTGTTTAATTCCTATAACTGGTCTTACATATTTTGCATCAGATTTCCTAGCTAAAAGGTTAATCAATTTAAATAATGCCCTGTTTAAAGGTAAGGTACACATCATCTGTGTAAGTTATTTTCAGCTGTTCCAGTGTTTGCTGAGTAATTCCAGTGATAGAGTTATGAGAACATAAATTATAGTAAAAAGAGCAAGGCAGAAAATAAGAGAAGACATCTATGGAGTGCATGATAAAATATGAATTCCTGCGTAATAAGAACATAAGCCTTAACAGAAGATGTATTATTAACCATCCAATCTTTAGCTGCTTCCTATTGTAACAGCACAGATACATAAACAAAATAAAAACATTCTAAAGTTCAAAACCCATTCAGACAAAAAACAACTCCTTGCTACTATAATTGCCGTGTATAAATTCTCATCAAACTGAGAAGAAAACTATTTAGTGGACTGATACAAAATGTGTTCTGAATTCTTGGGCTCCAAAACCTGCAAAGACTTGGAGACAACACCATATTCTTCAAATTACATGTCAGACTTACCTTCAGCTCCTCAGGGTGCTGTTTCACCATGCGCAAGCGAATGTCTCCATGTATGAGGTAAGGTGAAATCTGGCTTGGTGAAGCCAACACAGTGTCCTGAAGTGAACTGGTATCACCCAGAAACTTTTCACAGGCCTTCTTTATTTCTACAACTGTGGACTCTTCAATGTTCACCAGGCGGATTTCCCTGAGACAACTTGGTGGACTTGCCTCAACAAATTCCTTTACAGCCATTACAATCACTTGAGAACACAAATCAACTGGGAAGGCATAGACACCTGAACTCACTGCTGGGATAGCCACAGACTTGAAAGCTTTACCGGGAATACTAACATAATGCAAAACATTCAAAATAGCTTGCCGAAGTAGGTAACAACAGTCATCCTTTTCACGCGGATTCCACCTTGGACCAACTGCATGAATAATTTCCTTACAAGGAAGCTTCCCTCCACCTGTCACTGCTATACTGCCAATTTGGACTTTTCCATTCCTTTGAATATAAAGGTTGCTTTGCTCTATTATTTCTGGTCCTCCACTTTTTACAAGGGCAAAAGCAAGACCTCCTCTATGCTCAAGACACTCATTGGCTGCATTCACCAAAGCATCAACCTGGTGTCTTGTGAGATCATCCCTACAAACACAAACGTCAATTCCAACCTTTACTTTTTTCCTGTATACTTCACCAGTACTTTCTGTTGCTTTTCCGAAGGCCAACGTACAAGCAAACTTTTTGGAAACGAGATTATTTAGACAGCTGTCTCTTCTCTTAAGAGCTTCATAGTCATCTTGACTGAGGGAGATCATCGAAGTGACCTTATCCATTACCATGCTTGACCCTAAGATACAGAATATAAAGTGAAATAGAAGATACTACTATCACAACATTTCTTTTTATAGAGAAGAGTGGTTTATAGCTCTCAATTTTATCCGACTGTCATTGTTAAACAGTATTTTTTTTCACAGTGTGATCCTCCCTCTCCCCTTTTGAGAGGTTTAGAAAGCCCGAGAAGGTTCATTTAACTGTGCCAGAGAGATCTTATGCTGAGTTTTAATTCTGTGACTTTTATTTGGTCAGCACTCAAAGTCCACAAGCAAATTCCTTCTTTCTACAGAACCCTGTATGAACTTAGAAAGGCTTTTTAAACCACTTTTTTTAGGGAACCGTTTTTACACTATCCCTATGGCTATACAGCCCYCTCCTGGCAGATGTCAGCAGTACTATATGCAGCAGTTATGCTAATTAGTTTAAATAACTTTGTGTGAGTTTAATCAAACTTTCCTCTGGTTATCTGCTTGCAAAAAGAGTCTGACGTTTTGCACTTAACAAAGTATACACACCGATTCATCAAAACACTCCTGAGCTCTTGCTTTTAAAAGAGAAATGTAAGCAAGTCCTGTTCAAGTAATGAATAATAATGTACATTCATAACCGTGTCTATTTCACATTAACTATGAATTTCAGGTTGCTTTTGGCTTTTGTTTTCCAGTTTGCTGGCTGTAGCTGGCAGTTCTCAATTTACAAGTACACACTTCRCAGATGGCTAAATGAGAGGCTTACCTAAAGCGGGCTTCCCTTTGAAGAAATATGAAACGTAACTCTATGGTAATAAAAAGAGAAAAAAAAGCAAAGAGAAAGTACACGTTACAAGCAATAAARTATGTGGGCTGCCTTCCTAAAGGAGAGGTTCTGTTGCAAATCAAACCGGCAGCAGCATCTTTTCAAATATCGGTGCCAAGTTTTCTAGTTTTTAAAACGCTGCTCGGAGCTGAGGGAGCTCTGGGTGCAGCTCCGGCTGACTCGCGGGAGCGAGAGGCCGGGAACAGTCCCTTCATGCCGAGTGCCAGGGGCCGGGACTGTTGTGCTCCCCTGAACCCGCCGGGAGCTCCCGCCGCACCCAGAGCCCCTCAGGCAGCCGCCGTCCCGGGCCTCTGCCCCCAGCCCGCCTCGGTACCTGGATGCCCCCCATGAGCCGGCTCGGCGCGGATCCGGAGCTGCAGCGGGGTCTGAGACGGGGAACCGCGGGCGGCGGAGCCGGGAAACAAAAGCGAAAGCGAGCGACGGAGCGGGAAGCGAAAGCGAAAGCGAGCGGGGGAGCGGGATCATGGCGGCGGCGCCGCTGCTGGTTCGGCTGAGCCCCGCGCCCGCCGCCGGCGAGAAGGCGATCCTCAAACTCCAGGCGTACTTCCAGTCGGGAAAGCGCTCGGGGGGCGGCGAGTGCAACGTGCGAGCGGGCCCCAAGCCCGGCACCTACTGGGTGGATTTCTCTCAGGAGCAAGGTACGGGGCGGGGGCCGCGGCTCCCCCTGACGGGACCGGGGGGCTGTGAGGGGAGGGGAAATGGCCGCTGAGGCACCATTTTACCTCCGTGTGGGGCGGCTCTAGGGCCCCCAGTAACCATCACTTTTTCAGGTAATTTTATCAGCCTTATCTGCCTGTGTCCAAATTCGAAGGGGATCAAAGGCGTGCCAGACTTTCGGTAGTAGTCAGCGACTGGACAAGGAGCAGAGGGCATAAACTAAAACACAAGGAAGTTTCACCTTAACATGAGGAAGAAATTCTTTACATTGATTGTGGCATAGTACTGAGACAGGCTGCCCAGGAAGGCCGTGGAGTCCCCATCTCTAGAGATATTCCGGGTGGTCCTGGCACTGGGATTGGATGGGATGATYTCCAGGGGTCCCTTCCAGCCATAACAGTTCTGTGATTCTGTCATTTTAAATTACCGCAGATAGGAGGAATGTGGAATCCCGCACAAAACACGTCTTGGAGTTGGGTGCGAAATGCCTGGAGATAACGATCCTGCCGGGAGAAGAAGACTTGGGCAAGAGCCAGGTTACAGCTCAGGCCTCTGCCAGCCACAACGGTGTCACTKCCAGCCCTGCCCTGCCCCAGCAGGAACAGCAGAACAACCATGACCATGGGGCCACTGCAAAGGAAGTCCTGACCAAAAAGGTACATCCGGAAGAGCAATGTCACAACCTGCCCTGTTTGTAGTTCCACAAATCCTTTATGTTGCACTTCAATGTTTCCCGTTGAAAAGATGCCATTTATGTGAATTTAGTCAATAAAATGGGGGCCAGGAGTGACATTTGAGTGCTGGACTAGAGGTCAGCCAAGGCGTGTTTACAGGCAGCATGTTTTTCAGCCTGGCTCTGGCCAGTGCCAACCACTATTCCCCAAAGCAGCACCCTGACGGGTTTCAGGGGGTAGTATGCACCAGGGGCTGCTCCCAAAAGGTAAAAGAATTGTATGAGATTTGGATCCTTTCCACCTACACAGACCTCTAACGCTCTTTCAACATAGTTTGCACCTTGAGGCAACTTCAGCATTAAAAAAGTGTGCTGTGATGTGATGTAGCACAGCAAACAATTTCAGACACATTGAWCTAAAAATTATGCAGAAAAGATCAGCTGTGTTTAGGGACGTGGGATAAGGCTACATGATGCAGATGTGGCTCTACCAAGACTGATGTCTGGCTCAGAGGGTTTACCCTGTTTGGCATGGTAACATAGATGTAGCTTTTGAGGTATAGYGTGTGCTAACATAGCATTTACCTGGCATCTGTACCACTATAAGCAAATTTCYRTATCCTGCTTCTGTGCAAAGTAGASAAGTGAAACATGTTTGYTATTACTTTTCAGAATCCTGTTTTCCGCCCTAMCTCTTGAGTTATTAAAGCATGAYTTTTTGGGAAATTTTTAAAGAARTACARAAAGKGAAAACTAGAAARTGTAATATCAATAAGAACAATGAAATATAAATTATAGGTGGCATTAAAATATGTGTCTATGTAACCTGGCACTAAGAGGACAGACAGAATATTGGGGATCCTTGGAGGAATAATGATGGAACTAGGATGTAGTTACAATTTAAGCTTTTTGTTTTCTAAAACAGGATTTTATCATTAGCGTAGCATGGAATTAATGATCAGTATACCACAGGATTTCTACAAGCAAAATCAGTGGGGGACAATTTTATATGTAGTTTAGCACTGTGTTTGATAGCACCGCTTAGCTTATGGCTTCTGGGCACCYGGACCCTCTGCAAATCATGTCAAATYTTAATACTTGGGTTGCCATATTAATAGAACAATCACARTCTARACTTGAAAACCACATAAAAGCATATGGGTCATCCAGTCAGTCCTCAAAGGAAGTGAAGGACAGTGAAGGGGCCACCAAGGGGTCAATGGGTTTCACTGTCCAGCCACAGTTGTGGTCCTAATTCCCAGTTAGGACTGGTAACTGGTTGATTTTGTAGGCAGTGCCATTAAACCTGCCTGCTCTGTGATGGGGTCAACACCACCTGGTTGGCAGATACCTGGGACCTTCAARGCCAGTTAGGAGGGCACTGATCAGCCTGGTGCCCAGAAACCTTGAGAATGATAGGGAGGGAAAGAAAAAATCTCTTTGTTTTGTCTACTTGGTGCGCATGACTTTTAGACCCTGTTCATGATGGGAAAAGGGCYTAATAATTTGTGCTGAGCTCAGCCACAGAGGTTGTCTGTTTGCCTTGTAAAATGCCATTAATTATGCTAACCCTGTTGTCAGAGGTTGGGAGCAGAGAGTGCTGGTCACAGTCTCAGCAGAGTTACTGTCTTTGCTCCTGCAGTGCTAATGACATTAACGCATTTCATTTTTGCTGCTGACTTAGGAGAGCAGGTTATGTTACTYGCCTGTTTGTAATGTCAGTGTACTTGACATTAAAGAAATACTGTGTGCAAACTTGTAGATARTAATCTGGCATTACTGGGATGGGCAGAGCTTCTCCTTGCTCAAAATATAGAAGCAGCAAGCAGAGAACCTTAGAAAAAAAACCTCATGTTATATATTCTTGTCTTTTCTTTAGATATTTCTTACAGTGACTGCTACTTTGAATACCAGTATGTTCACTGAAGACCAAAGGAAGAAAATTACCATTATGTGTCCAAACTTAAAGAGAGAAGGAAATCTYGGTTTGGAGAAATTGACAGGAGATTTTACAGATATTGAAAAAGCTTATCACTACTTTGAGGATATCCTTGCAGGCAAAGACCCAAACCATAATTTTTCACATTCTAAATGTAAGAATGGTTTGAAAGATGAAAATGGCCTGAATACTGAAGAAATGAATGAGTTTACAGTTGTGACAGCTCTCTACGAGTATTTTAATCATACATGTCAAAAAGAAATCAAAGAACTACACAGAAGGTTTGGAGCACATATAAAAATTAAAGGTCATTGCAATGATCACACATTAATATACATATCTTCTGATAAAAGTCCTGCATTGTTACAAGAAGCTAATGAKTTTTTTATCAGAACTTTTCAAGAAKCTACAAGAGATCTGACACAGGAAAAGGTTCCCATAACAAACCGTTCCACATTAAGGGAGACAATAATGAAATTAAATGAAAGGTTTAGAAATGTTCTTGCTAAAGAGGAAGGGAATCACTTGCTCCTCCGTGGTCCACTGAATGATATTTTAGCTGCTCAAAAATTTCTAGCAGATGAAGCTGAGAACAGCCAAGCTGAAAAGAATATGAAAATATCATCTGAACAGTACAAATACAGGAATGGAATTGTAGTTGATATTTCTGTGTTTAAATTGTTGGAAACCATATTAAGCAAAGAAATTGCAAACATTAATGACAAATTTGATACAGTTATAGAAATAAAAGATTATTCATATGGCCAGAGGGTCATAATATTTAGGCCTAAGTCCAAAACTTGTGATTTGTCATCACATGCTGCTGAAAGTTTCRTCAATGCATGTCAGAGTGCCTCTGCAATGTTACGAGAAAAAACCATCACCCTGAAGCTTTCAGAAGATCAGAAGAAAACTTTGTATATGCTACTTGATGAAAAACAATTTGAAGATCTTCATGTAAAACTTAAGAAGAATGAAGATAAGTTAATCATAAGCGGTTTACCAGACCACCTTTATGCTGCTGAAAAGCACGTGATGGACCTTCTTAACATTGAAGGCTCAACACAAAGTAAAAATAAGGCACGACTGTCCTCTGACCTCAGCTCTCAAGAAGCTGCAGGAGCACCTAAGAAGCAATCCAAAGTTAAGCAAAAGAATAATGTTTCTTCTGAAGGACAGACTCAGGCAAAGACAGAAGAAGAAGATAAGTGTCCAATTTGCCAGGACAGAATTAAAAATAAAGAAACACTAGAAAAGTGCAAACATGCATTTTGCAAAAGTTGCATTGACCAAGCCATGACTTATAAACAAGCTTGTCCTGTTTGTAATACCATCTGTGGAGTTCTGAGAGGAAACCAACCAGAGGGAACAATGTCAAGTACCACAAAACCTTTCTCCCTTCCTGGTTATCAGAATTGTGACACTATTCAAATTGACTATGTTATGAAAGGTGGTGTTCAAACTGTAAGTATATTTAAGTATTTCTTAAAGATACTTTTCCCATAACAAAACCAAGATTGAATATAAAATTAACTATTTTCTCATTATTTTAGTGCATGCCCAGGCAGGACATTTCTTTGTTTTGTACAAATCTGCAAGTGTTTGTTTCAATATTTTTTGGGTATGATTAAGTAAATATAGTAGAAATGAAATGGTCAGATTGTTGGCCCTCCTTTTTATATGGACCGGGACAGAAAGTACCTGTCTTTAATTTGTACATTGGGAATAACTGAACTGAAATATTTGTAGTGATATCATAGAAGAAAAATTTTGCTAGTATAATGACCATTACTGAGGCATTCTCATTGCTGCAGACACCCATGGACAAAAATACATAGTGGGCTGGCTTGGTGAGAACTTTCCAGGTGAGGAATCTCTTTATGTGCTTGGATTTGTGACTAGGACTGAGAATGGAGTAGGTTGAAAAGTCACAGGTGCGGTGCCATGCATTTGGGAAAGAAACAAGGGAAAAACAAATTAAAAAATAACAATGAATACATGAGTGATGACAAGAAAGGGTGAATGAAACTTATATGAAAGAAAGCATCTAAAGAGAAAAGARCTCCCCAAAATCAGTGATCAGTGATGCTATGTCCTTCTGAATAATTTATGATATACAAGTGTTTTTGTTTTGTTTTTCTACAAAACAGAGCAGCCATCCAAACCCAGGGCAGCATTATGGGCCAACTCAGCGAACGGCGTATTTACCTGACAATGAGGAAGGGAGAGAAATTCTGMAGCTCCTCAAAAGGGCCTTTGACCAAAAATTGATTTTCACAGTGGGGCAGTCACGTACTACTGGTGAACAAAATGTTATCACATGGAATGATATTCACCACAAAACTGCCATAAGGGGGGGACCTACCMGGTAAGTAGTTTTCTCTTTATGTAATACTATTGCTACTCACATGTGTCAGAAAGGCTGCCTTGAATATTTTCCACATTTAGAGCTTTCAGATTTTGTCACTAACAGAGTGATAGTGGAATGCCCTATGGATCCAGACATTAATTACCTTCACCTGTTTGGACAGTTGAACAAAGATGAGCTTAGTCTTCTGCTGCCCCTCAGGCCACTCATTTACCAGTGAGTTTTTAGAGCACTTATAACCACTTTGATTAGAACCTACAGTACAAAAGGCTCTTGGTGACATATAAGGTTGCACTCCTGATCCAAGCCTCTCCTGTTACCTCCTGTTCTGCACCAGGAGGTGCTTGTCCATTATGTTCCCAGTAAAGATGGCACTTGGACTTTGTAAAACGTGATTTGAAATTCTACTTAACAGAGCTAACAGCAGGAAGAGAGATTGTAGTACAGGTATGGTCATGTCCTTTTAGATGCTAGGAGCCATGAGTTGTGCAGCATTTAGTGGGTCAGAACACAGGACACTGTGCCAGCCCCATCCATAGAAAAGGTTACCCCATTTTGGCCGTTCAAGCTATCAGAGGATTTTCTGAGTGGATGACAACCTTATCCAGTATTTCTGGAGGACTTGCTGCACTTTGAGATAAATTTGAGATAATTTGAGATAAATTAAAGGAGCTGCCTGTAGAAGAGACCAAGAGGGAGTCTTGGACTGGTTCTTCCAAGCTTGTTGCAGCCTCTAAGGGGGTGGTGGTATCCTGCAAGCTCTAAAGGCTTGTGTCTAGATCCTCGTGACTGGGCTAGGAACATTAAAAGAGCAAAAAGTATCAGTTTTCCTTTATCCCTCACTCCGTGCAAATTCTGTGTCTTGTTTATAATTTGCTTCATACACAGTTCTGGTGTTGCATTACTTCAAGTCCAGAGGTGGCACTACATTTCTCATTTGAATGCTCACTTAGATATGCTTCAGGTCTGATTTTCTTTTTAAAAAGATGTGTATGGAATCACCCTGTCATTTTCAAGTGAGACCCCACGCAGCTTTGAAAATCAAGTTTTTTTTTGTGTCAATTTGGACAATAAAATGCAGCAGTTCCTTAAGTTTGTAGCTTTATGCTGTCTATATCACTTCTCTGACCGGCAATATGAGTCTGTTGTCTCTGTAGGACAAGAACTGTATAAAATTTGTAAAGAGGTTTCTAAAAAGATTTTGATGAGAAGGTTCTCTCAAGGTAGAATTGTCAAGTGTCATTGCAGAAATAACCCAAACAATTCTTTTCTTCTTTTCCTAGGTTTGGTTACCCGGATTCTGSTTATCTGCAGCGTGTTCGATCAGAATTGAAAGCAAAAGGAATTGAATAAGGAAGTCTRTCAACTCTCAAGTGTAATAACTGAACATACAGCAGTTAATGTACTGTTCAAGCTCTGAGAGATGTCACTTTGTTTAGCTGCCATACTTAAATCATTTGCATTTCACAGTTAGCTAAGAAAGGTAATCTTTTCTCATCAAAAGATACATGTTCTTTTCACAAATCATTTACATCCCTGTATATGTAGCCTTTCCAGAATTTGGTTCTTGGGAGTGTAATATMAATTACAAATTTACTCTTTGCAGTTTGTAAATCTTGCTTTACCAGCAAATCTGATCTGCACTTTTTCTCAAACCTCTCCAGTCTGATTGCCAAAACACTTAGATCCACTACTGGCTTCCATTAGATGAAACACTTCTGTTAGCTTTGCGTTATTACGTCTGTCAGCATGGCCAGCATCATGTAACCCATGTAATTGAAAAATTTTATTCAGCTGTAGCAGTGTTCACTGTGATCAGGCTATGGACTTTTACTTCCTTTCATGTTAGAAATGGCATTAGTGATTTGGGTTTTGTACATGGATCATATACAAGTGGGTACATGGATGCTACTGTATTTTTAGCTCTGCAGAAGTGCTGAATGCTGAGAGCTGTGTTGGAGCAAACAGGAAGTATCTCAGTGTCTGTGGCCATCTCTGATAGTGGGCTCCTGGTTCTGTGTTTGCCTTTGTGTTTAAACTTAAATTCAACTTTTAAATCAGCTTTTCAACTATAAAACTCTATTCTTTCCATTACATCCAATATAGATTTAAATTGTATCACARAGTTACTCTGCAGTGCCTAAATAAYCTGCCAATYACCTTTGWGGTGATGYGTCACACACACAGCCGTCCGTTTTAGTGAGTAGAACCATATCTTTAAGGCTATTGAGCACATCTAATAAATAAAATATGAAAACACCACATATGTTTCTCCATTCTTCTGTACAGGTTTTTCCTCCTTTGTGGGATACACATAGCTGTGTATTTTTTTTAATTTAGGAGCTTCCCTGTGACCCCATGATTTGACACAATTTGGACTCCATGCCACCCCCCTTTTTTCAATTTCTTAATTTATTTTTWATTTYAAGAGTCCCACATTGTGAATAGGCAGTACTACTTTGCCACCTTGACTTCCAGGTTTAGTAGTAGCGGGCCCTGTTTGATTTTCATGTGGGTTGGGATATCTTTCCAGCCGTGGTTTTGTGTTACTCTTATTTGTTTTAACATTTTACACTATTCCATGTTCCCCCCCACACACACTTTTCTGTACAGTAAAATACCAACATTCCAGTTTCTAAGCGACTGAGCTTTTCTGCACACRGAAACAAGCTGTCTTTGTGCTTCAACCCCTGCGAGCAGCTATGTACCACTGGTCACCCCCCAACCCCAGTGGGCAGAGAATCAGAAAGGAAAGGTAAGGCTTKTGCATTGAGATAGGAACTGTTTATTAACTGAAACAAAATGAGATATAYTATTACTAATAACTGTAATGAAAGGGAGGTGGGGAAGTAAAAAACCCATGAGAAACAAGTGCACAGTGGTTGTTCACCACCTGCTGACTGATGCCCAGCCTGTCACTGACTAGCAATCGTCCCCCTCAGCTGACTCCCCCCAGTTTCTGTACTGAACATTATATTCTTTGGTGTATCCCTTTGGCCTTTGGCCACTTTGGGTCACCTGTCCTGGCCATGCTCCTTTCCTGCTTCCTGTGCATCTGCTTGCTTGCAGAGCATAGGAAACTGAAAAGTCCTTGACTTGGGGTAAACATTCCTCAGCAACAACTACATTACCAGCATGTTGTCAACATAGTTCTCCTACTAAATCCACAACACAGMCCTGTATCAGCTACTAAGAGGAAAATTAACTCTATCCCAGACCAAAACAGCTGTGGAGGTCAAACCTCAGCTGGTTTTGGTCTCTCATTTCACTCTCTGTCCTGGTCAGCCAGTTCACTGATGTTAGACCCCTATTGGGCAACTCACCAGCTCTGCTTTTGTCTGCACCGAATTTTGCTGGCTGAATTGTGCAGCAGTCTAAGTGACTGTCATGGAAATCTCCCAAAGCCTTGGTAATCAGCTGTGGAGACCATTACTTTTTAATCATAGCTGTACARTTTAGGATTAAATTGACTCAATTTGTAATCACAGCAAGGAATCTTTTCAGGATTGCAGCAAGGGAGGAGAGCATGTACCTGGGCTAGTTGTGGGGAGAATAGTGCATTAGGAAATAACAGATAAACAAGTCGCCCAGCAAGAAACAAAGGATCACATCTCTATGAGTTGCTCAGCAGAGTGTCTGATGATACCTAGGCCTAGCTAGATGTTTATAATTTTTAATGACATTTGGTTATTTATCCATTTCCTCAATAAGTGTTCCGTGAAGTTGTAGGAAAAAAAATTCATTTGTCTGCTACTTCAGTGTCCCACATTTGGTCATAAGGGTAAAATATTGATGCCCAAAAAAAGAGTAGAAATAAAACCCCATAGACCATTGTATATAGAGCAGGTATTTGTTTATTGCAGCGCTGGTGTAGCGCTGGAGGTGAGGGGATCTCTCCTTCTAACCCACCTGCCTTCGCTTAAGATTGGCAGGTATTTACACATTAAGCATGGTGTAACATTACTATCGTCACTACACCCACCACCATATATGGTACAGAAATACATGATATCACAGTTCTGCAAGTGTGCATGTGTCATCCTCAATTCRGTGGTCRTGGGGGTCTCCCCCTAATGAGAGACCATCATCTTCATCATGGTGGATTTTTCACCTTTATCTTCAGGGCATGCACAGTTGTGATGTTCATGTTTTTTCTCTTCCAGGTCTTCATATTTCACTTTTCAGCTGACTGTCTTATGCTTCTGCCAAGTTCTCATTAGTGCACTCTACTGTTCCTTATTATAGCATCTACCTGTCTACTTCTTCAGAACTTTTTCTGATTTATGYTCCTTGGTGATTTTTATGTGTCTGCATACTAATTCAGCTGGTTGGATTACATCCAGCYRGTACACTATATGTTGCTAATACACTATTAAAAAACTTATAACAACATATTAAAAGCCTATTATTGGTAATATATTGAAAGCTAGTACATTGTGTATTAATAATACRTAAAAAGCTATTACATTCTATATTGATAATATATAAAAAAGTTATAAAAAGTTTTCAATCAATAGGCCTCATAAGCACCTTGTCACTTTGACATAAACCATAGGTATCAATATACAGCATAATTTCATACAGACACATACAAATTTCTTGCAGSTGAAAACTAATCTTTGCAAGGGAAAGTCTCAAGCACTCAGCTGAAAACTTCTAATCTAGCTGATTAAGTTGGTCTGAGGTAAACTCTCATTGCAACTTCCCACGGTTGTGGAAGCATCTCTGGCAAAGAATGATGAAAATGGTAATTTTACTYTTCATCATGACTTCATTTGAAAGGGTAAGGCAGGGAGAGCAGTGTTACCCAGTGGTTAGCCATTATATATGGGGTTCAGGGGCTGAAAACACTGTGACTGTTTCTTGCACGATTCTGTGAAAGCACAAGGGGCTGTGCAGCCCGGGCGCGCYCCGAGGGCGGTGAGAAGCCCGTCCGGCCCCAGTGAGGAGGCGCCGCGGGGACCGGCGCCCCGGCCGCCCGATGCGCCCGGAGGGAGCCGCCCGTTCCCGGCACTGGGCGGAGCACCAGGCACCTCGGGTTTCCCCGCCGAGAAATGAAACCGAAAGCGGCGGGGGAGAGGAGCAGTCTGGGCGGCCATGGAGGGGCAGGAATCGGGCTCCTTCCCGCTGCTGGTGCGAGGGGACTGGGGCCCCGCCGAGCCGCCGCCCGCGCTCAGGAAGAAGCTGCTCTGCTACTTCCAGAGCCAGAAGCGCTCGGGCGGCGGCGAGTGCGAGCTGCGGGCCGGGACCGAGCCCGGSACCGARCCCGGGCACATCCTCGTCTGCTTCGCCCGCCCCGAGGGTGAGCGGCCGGGCCGGGCCGGGCCGGGGGGCGCTGATGGCGATGCCCGCGGCTCAGACGGGCGGGGGGCGGTGGCATCCCCCGATCATATACWAGCGGGTACATGGATGCTACTGTACTTTTAGCTCTACAGAAGTGCTGAATGCTGAGAGCCGCGTTGGAGCAAACAGGAAATAACAGTGTCTGTGGTCATCTCTGATAGCGGGCTCTTGGTTCTGTGCCTGCCGTTGTGTTTAAATTTAACCTGAGCGGTGCYTGTTCTGTTGGCAGTGAGGCAGCGGGTGCTGCGCCGGCCGGTCCACGAGCTCGCGTGGGGATCCGGGGGGCGGCTGTCACTGCAGGTCACCGCCCTGCCCACGGATGGCGACCCCGCGCAGGTGAGAGGGGCGCAGGTGAGAGGGGCCCGGGGCCAGGCGGCCGGGCCAGGGAGGGACCGCGGGTGACCGCTCTCCTCTCGTTGCCTTGCAGGAGGCAGGACCGGCAGGCGGGGCCGAGGCACCAGGTAGGAGCTGCGGCAGGCGGGCGGGGGGCTCCGGGGATGTGGAGGCACTGTCCCGGGGAGCCCGGGCGGAGCAGTGGGGATCGGGATGGGGATGGGGAAGGAGGCGGAGCCCCTGCTCGGCCGGGCAGGGCGAACGGCGCTCTAGCGCTTTGGATCTTCTCCCCTTCCCTTCCCGAATCCCAAACACGATGGATACGATAGCTTACGATTCTTAAGGGGCAGCCCCAGCACGGCACAGAGATCTGCGCTATCCTGACTAATACACACATACACACACACGGCTAATCAATGCACACGCATAGAGGGCACTATCAATACACGCACAGCTACTCAATACACATCYGGCTAATGCCTACACACAGAACTAATCAATACACACACATAGCCAGTACAGAGCTAATCAATATGCCACTATCAGTACACACTGAAGTAATCCATGCACACRTGGCTGATGCACAGCTCCCTGAGCTCTGCCTGCAAAGTACCTGCTTGTGTGTGGCAGGGCGATTGTGCAGGTGAGGACTGGGGGCACAGGCTGGAAAAGCAGCTGAGTCAATCTTACCATTGTCCTTTGTTTTCTAATGTAGCTGTATTTCCTCTTGTTCTAAACTAGGAAGTTGAGCAGTCACGCTGAGTTAAGTGCCTCATAACAGAGGCTCTTCCAGWCAGAGGAGGTTTCCAAAGGCTTATTCTCTCCCAAGGGCAGATGTTCTCAGCACTTCTCATGTTCARTGCTGGTTTTTGTGCGAGGACAGTGCTGTAGTGCATGGCAGGACCTGCTCACAGTGGTTCATGTAGCATGACTGTGTGCTTACATTATGCCTGAGGCTTCTTGATCTGAGTGTTTCTGTACCAAATTCAACATATGGTTTAAAAAGAGGAATCTGTGGAAGTCTGYGATTCTGGCAGTGTCAAAGGAGACTTGAATGAAGTTCTGTTAGCTCCTGGGTGTACATGAATGTGTCTGTTTTCTTCTTGAGGTATCTAGTAACTGAGAAATCATTGTCATTTATCTCTAGTTAATGAATCCCAGGTGTTTCTTCCCATCTGCCAGAATACTGAAACTCCTGTGTGTACTCAGCAGRAGAAGACAGGTAAGTGTGTCATTTATGTGGTAGTGACCACTGTATTCTTGCTCCTTTGGTTTTCTGGAYCTTTCTGCTGCAGTAATGGCCTGGTCACCCTTATGACTTGTGTTGTTTGTCTAATRTAGTGTAGGAATTGTGATCCCAGACTAAAAGAAATATTTTTTTTTTTCTTTTCTATGAGTCCTTTTAGAGCCCCCGCTTCACTGGCTGCCTCAGACAGATCAGTTCCTTAGGGGTCAGCAGTGGATGCTGCCCTTTGTTCTGGCTAAGGTTGTCCCTACCTGCTGCCAGCCTTTCTGGTGCAATTTGTGCCAGAACAGGTTGGGAGCTCTGTCCCCCAGGTAGGTACAGTGCTGGCTGTGACCCACAGCACTGGCTGGAACTGGGAATGGAGAGCGTGTGCAGGCAGAAGAACACTTGCTCCCCTCATTGTGGGTTTGTGAAGAAGCTTTTGTAGCTTTAATTTCTGCTCTCCTTGCCTGGTGATGAACTGAAGTGTTTCCTCCTCACATGTTGATACAGCAGCTCCCACTAGTGATATACTTAATTTTGGATTCTTTAATTTGTTTGGGATTCTTACCCTGTTCTTTTCCCAGACCTTAAGTGTGATCGGAACAAAAAGTGCTGTGAAAGCTGGGAAGATAGGAAGCTTTGGGTTTTTTCTTAACTTTTGCCTAAGACATTAGAGTGTGATCTCTTATTTCAGAATCATGTGAGAAATTGGAAGCAGAAAAAACACCCTCTAAGAATTCTGTTATAGTAGTGACCACTGCCTCTGGGGCGGAAATAGAAGATGAGATTGTGGAAATGTACTTTGAAAATAAAAGGAAGTCTGGTGGGGGGACCATTGAGTCCTATGTCAAAAAGGATCAGCAAGTGATCATCACCTTTGAGGATGAGCAAGGTATGATTATATGTTATGGGTGTTGCATTGCTAAAGCTSCCTTTTAAAAACAGGCATTTACTGGTGCAGGATCTCTTTGTGGGTACTGCTCCAAGCAGAAATGGTGTATTATTGCTATTTTTTAACATGCTGCTCTGCTGTGACGGGAAGCAAAGATCACACCTCTGTTTTCCTGTGGGACTAGATGCTCAAGAAGTTTTGCAAAGGAAGCATCACTTGAATAAAACTGATCTGGTTGTGAAGCCGTGGCAAGTGGAGACTTTCCAGGAGTCGTGCCAAGTGGAGAACTCTGAAGGATCCCTGCTTTCCACCTCAGTTGTGCTGGAAAATGTGAAGGACACAACAAAAGATTACATGTTAATTATGCTGGTAGAGAATGTCAGTGGCTTGTCAGAGGATGATGGTGACTTCATTGTGGAAATGATACCTGAGTTATGTGCTGCTGTAGTTACTTTTACTGGAAATACTGGTAAGGARGAGTCAGAGTTGAAGCTCTTTCTTATTATCCACTTGTTTGCATGCATGTGTGTGACTGAGATTAGGCTGGGAGTATTTTCTTTCACATTTTTAAGGTTGGATCTGATACTGTGTCCTTTTAAAGGAGGATTTACTCTACTAAAGTTAATGCCATAACTTTTATCTGTAAGGTAAAGAGAGGCCAGTGCAAGTCAGAAAGAGAACCAGCTCTGGTTTGGATGGTAAACACAACAGATAGAACTGAAACYAAACTATAACTTAAAGCAAGCAATAATGTACTTAGTCTGAGAACAGATTGATGGTAAAAGCTGTCCTTGCCAAAAGCTGACCTTCAGCGAAGGTGTAGCTTTTTCTGCCTTAGAATTGATTTGTCTCTCATGYCATGCTCCAGTTGTAAATTTTTGGTGTAGCCTTTAAGAAATAAGTAGACTCTTAAGAAACTTAATTATTTTTCCCTGACAGACCAAAAAGTGATTTGACTGTCTTTTCCTGTGAAGGTAACAGGTGGGAAACAGACAAAACTAGAATGTATTTGTCATAAAACCGAGAGAACTTGAACTGTTAATTTGTGCCTGATTRGTTGTGCACAAAGCCTTAGCCCAAAAATGAACCTGATCTTGTTTTCTTCTGGGATTAAAGACTCCTACTACAGTAGTAGTAGGAAAACTAGTGGCAAATTTTGGCTGCTGTCATTGTAGTCAGCAATTGTGATCAACCATGAGGGGAATGCTGAGTGACAGATACTGAAATATGTGGAAAGAAGTAGCTTTGTGGGCACCTCTGAGCTGATTTTGTAATTCAGTGCTTTRATCAGTGTACACAGTGATAGTCTGCTAACACCATGGTAGAAAAGAGTGCTCCGAGTTTGATCTTTTCTTTTTCCTTCTCCCTTCTCTTTCTAGATATCAAGGAATTTGCTAAAAAGCTTAATCAAAACAACAGAGCAAGGCAACAACAYATTATTGCACGGTGCCTTGAGCAAACAAAAAGTGTTAGGGCTGAAAATATACCACCCAACACACCCAATGACTACATAACCATCTACTTTGAAAATAAGAAGTACGGAGGTGCACAAGTGGTGGATGTTCAACAGCTGCCTGATGAAGATGCAGCTATCATTACATTCAGTGATCAAAAAGGTAGTGCAGAAATGCAGAGCCCTTATTTCTTTGAGAACCTCTCATTTAAAGACCACAATGTGGATTTTCTAGAGAAATTACTCATTTGCCTTTATAAAACAGCAGATCTGGTGCTTTGCCAGGGGGTATCATGCTAATTGGAATGCAAGCTTTAGTTTTAGACCTGGGCATAAAGCATAGAAATTTTTAGTATTCTGGGCAGCTTATTTCACCCAGGCCTTGATCCTTACAGAGTTCAGGTTACAGTTTGAGTTCAGTGGAGAATGCACRGCCCCATGGGCACAGGGACTTCCCCCCACCTGTCCCCTTGACCACCAGCTGCAAATGGCAACTTGTGCTGTCTGGTTCATCTCAGGACAATTTCTTGGGCAGCTTTTTGGCTGGACAGCAGCAGCTGTGGGCTATCCAGTCAGTGACAGAAAGATGAGTGGCTGTGGAAGGTGTAGGACAAAGGAGAAGCTGGAGGCATTGCAGAGAAGGAGAGAGATGGTCTTTTGAAGGGAAGCAGAGGAGCTGTGGTTTGATACTGCTGTGTAATAGCCCAGAAAATTACTGAGCACTTCACGTATTGGGGGGCAGAGACTTTGCACACCTCCTCCCAGAGGTGGATGCTGTTGTGCTTAACTCTGTCTTCAGCTTAGTTTCTGGCATTTAAAAGAAGTAATTCTTAAAAAAATTGGWATTATTTGTATCTGGGAAGGGGAGGAAATTAATCTAAAAATGTTCTTAGAAAGAACAAACATTGTATAGAAAATACAGTCTAAAAATACCCAGACAATGAAAAAAAAAACCAAAAGAGAAGATCTTAAGCGCTGACATTAATAACTTGTTTGTTTGTTTTAGATGTAACAAATATCCTGGCAAAGAAGCATTCACTCAACAAAACACCAATCTCWGTCTATCCTTACTACACCTCGCTGGAAACAGCTCTATATGGAAAGGAAGGGCCRCAGATAAAGAAGCCAGATCCAATTACATTGCCTCTGGATCCCTATATCTGGAATTATTTGCAAGGGAATAGTAGCTTAATCGAAGCAATAGATCATGAAATGGCAAAGTGTAATTGTGTGCCAATGTGGCCTGAACCCCTCTGTGCAGACCCAAAAGTTACTTTGAATCCTTCAAGTATTTTTTCTGAGCGGAAGAGATCAGTATCTCGATTGGTCAAAGCATGGAAGGAAAAAGTTTCCACAGCATTTTCACACAGCATATCAAAATACAAAGCAATTCAATGTCAAGTAAGCACAGAGGTGTGGGAAGCCATTAGAAACAGCTTTCCCCGTGATGAAGTTCTGGTGATCCCAAATATTTCCAAGGATTTACATGTTCTGGTCGGTGAAAAAGAAGTTGTGAAGAAGGTTGAACAAGAACTGAAGCTTCTGATTAAAAAGGCCACCAGAGAAATTGAAAGAGAAAAGCAAAGAACTGAACTGAAAGTAKTGTCAGTGAATCCAGGGGAATATGGAATTATACAGATTACTGGTCTTGAGGAAAAATTTCGTACTGAGTTCCCAGACCTGCAAATAACTTATGATTATTTGCAGAGGAGCATTAACCTATCTGGAGTGCCTGAGGAAGTTTATAAAGTAAAAGGGGAAATACTTGATCATATACACAAAATGGTAAAGAAAACAATTAATATCCACAATTACATTTTGCAGTTTTTACAGCATATTGATAATGAAACTCTGTCACAGAGCCTCTTTATGTCAAAACAAATTAGTGCCTTTTATGAGCTTGGTGTGGGAGGTATYGTCCTGAAAGGGAATTCTCCTGAAGATCTCCTAAAAGCAGARGAAGAAATAAAGAAAGAACTGGACTACAAAAGTATTGCTTTGGAGGATGAGGCAGTCCTCCAGAAGGAGGAATGGCAGATGCTCACCAAGGAAAACTGCTCTAAGGAAGATGTAACAGTCACTCATGCAGAGAGCCAGGTCATAATTGTTGGTCTTTCTCAAGCAGTAGCAAAAGCCTTTGAGGAACTTTCCAACTTTATAGATGAAAACACAGAGGTGCAAAAGGTCATTGGAGGAAAACCTATGGCAGTAATAAAGTTTTTCCAGAATGAGAAGGTTGATGATTGGGCTGGCTTACAAAAAAATGGCGTGAAAGTTGACTTTAGCACACAGAGAAACTGTGGAGTTATTTCCTTGAGTGGGCAGAGGACAAAAGTGCTGGAAGGAGCCACCTTAGTTGAGCAAATTCTGTCTGGCTTGCATTTTAAGCGTATGGAAATTAGAGCTCCAGGAGTCAAGGAATTTATAAAAGAGGAAGTCCACCTCTTGGCTCCCCATGCAAAACAAGAGTTCAGGTGTTTAGTCCTACTGGAAGAGCAGCCAGAAGGGCAGCTGGAAGAACAGAAAGAACAGAGTAMCAGAGGCAAGCCTTATATGCAGGTGACCATGGGTGAAACTGTGATAGCGCTTTTTGAAGCTGACTTGTGCACTCAYCACGTTGATGTTGTGGTGAATGCATCTAATGAAAACCTAAAACACATTGGTGGCCTGGCTGACGCCCTGTCAAGAGCAGCTGGCCCAGCACTGCAGGAGGAGTGTGATGAGCTGGTGAGGAAGCACGGGAATTTACAGCCCGGCTGCGCAGTGATCACGGGCGCCGGGAAACTGCCCTGCAAGAACGTCATTCACGCTGTCGGGCCCAGGTGGAGCAACGAGGAGCCACAAAGGTGCACGTGGTTGTTAAAAAAGACAGTGAAAAAATGTTTGCAGCTAGCTGAAATGTACAATTATCAATCCATAGCTCTGCCTGCTATAAGTGGAGGGATTTTTGCCTTCCCATTGGAAGTGTGTACGTCTTCRATTGTGTCCTCCATCAAGGAGACCTTGGAAGAATCCAGGGGGAGCAGCAGCTTGAAGGAGGTTCACCTTGTGGCTTTTGCACAGGATAACGTTCAGGCTTTCAGCAAGGCTCTTAGAGAAGTGTTTCCAGATTCTTCCTACAGGTCACTGCATCAGGCCAAGACAGTCCCTCAGTCTAGGAAGAGGAAAGCTTCCCAGTCTGGGAAGAACTTGCCATTCATAACAACTGAGGAAGGCCTTGACATTGTGCTGCAAACRGGAAGCATTGAAGATGCTACGGTAAGTGTTATAAATTATCTGCTRCTGAAGGATAGAGTGGGTTCTTTTGTGTCTTTTCTTAAAACAAGCAAACACAAAACCCATAACTGACCATCACCTGTAACTGGCAATGTTACCTGTTCATGTGTTACTGAAATTGGCTATTGCTGCTCGTAACAAGAATTGCTATTGCTGTCTTACCTGGTAGGTGCAGATGGCTGTGCAGCACTGCGTTTTGTCATCTACTGATGCACAGGTACACAGACCACAGAACCACAGAAAAGTTAAGGCTGGAACCTTAAGTCCAACCTCCCTGCTCAAGTAAGGCTCCCTGCTGAGCATGTTATGTGCCCAKASAGCTTTGGAATATCTCCAGAAATCCCTGTGGTGCATTACAGTTCAGCAGAAGCAATGGYRGTCARCAGGARCYGTTCTGGGCTCCAGACCCTCCTGAMYCTTCCTTGCTGGGCAGGAACCATCTTCAGACAGCACTCAGATTCAGATATCTTGATTCTGAGAGGGTGGTACTAGTGCAAAAGACAGAGTTCTCAGTGTTGGTTAAAGTGAGCCCTTGCTGTGGGAGAGTGGCTGGTGCTTCCAGGTGCTCTCAAGGCAGYGCTGACATGAATATCTGAGGCCAGGCCCACAGCCAGACACGTTCTCCCTGCATCTGTGGGATGTTGGTCTTTGTTATGTCATTGGTGAGCACTGGCATGAAACATGCAGTTGGTATTGCACTTTTTATGGAGAACCACAGTCACTAATTGATTTCCAGTTGCCTYCTGCATTGGATTTTTGTTAGCTGGCTGATAGATACTTTACTGGGATCWCCAGTACTGGAAGCAACTCCATCCAGAAACCTTCCTGTAATGGCCAGCAAACCCTCTGAGGAGGGGATGCCTCCTRCAGCTTGTGCATGCAGCTCCTCCAGTTGACCAGGGCAGAATATATGTTAAAATGTGTTTAGGGGCCCTTCCTGAGCAGTTAAACACAMAATATTCAATGCCCTTTGTATTTCTCTCATTCATAAATTGGTGCTTTTCTCACTTCTTTCTCCCTAGATCACACCCAGACTTGTTTGTATTCAGCTTCTGCTTGTCCCCCTAAACCAGCCCTGTATGGGAGGCCCTGCCTACCTCAGTGAACTCGGATTTTGGGCTGAAAGCCTCTCTTTGAGAGCAAACTTGCATAAATGTTTTTCAGATGGAGGTAGAATGAATTAGCCAGGAATGCAGAACTGTTAATTTTCTCCCATTAGGCTGAAATTAATTTCATTGTTAACTCAGTTATGTTCCTTTGGGCAGGCTCATGATATTAGAATTGAGCATAGCTTCTGGTTTATTCCAAAACTTTGTTCGCTCTGGTTGCTATCCCAAAAATTTACCTTGTAAACCATCAGGCAAGCTGTGTTTGATTAACCAAGGCAAAATTTAAATTTGATACTCACAAGCTAGAGTTTTCACTTGTGTGTTTTTCAGACATCCATTGTTGTCACCAGTATTCGCAAAGATCTTCAGCTTGACAAAGGGCCACTTTCTAAAGCTTTGCTAAACAAGGCAGGGYCGATGCTTCAGAGAGCCTTGAGAAAAGAATGCAGAGGAAAAGTACCCGAGGAAGGATCCGTGTTGAGAACACCAGGTTATAATCTGGATTGCAGTGTTGTGCTTCATGTTGTCCTACCTGGGTGGTCCCTGAATTACAAACCTGCAAAGGTATAAAGGGTTTTTATTTGCCTGAATTTGTCTTGGATYTATAGTCTGTTTAATGCCACTATTKCTCTGAAATGGGGAACAGTGTCATAGAAGATGAGAGAGTTTTTAACTGTGTTCTTTTTTAACTGTGGGACCAGTCCTTTGTTGACTAATAAATTCCTTGTGAGTTCCTTGTGTATGCAATTGAATGTATTTTAATACCAAGAGACAGCTAAGGTTCCATATACTGTGAAAAAAATTACCTCCAGTAACAGAAAAAATAATTGTGCTTTACAGATCTTGGGTGACATAATCACAAAATGCCTGGAGATTGCTGAAGAACTGTCTTTGAAATCAATTACTTTTCCAGCCATTGGGACAGGGAATTTAGGATTTCCAAGCTCTGTTGTTGCTAAATTATTGTTTGACAAAGTGTTTGAATTCAGTAGTAAAAACAGASTAAATTCTCTTGAAGAAGTTCACTTTCTGGTGCATCCAAAAGACACAGCTAATATTCAGGTRAGTTCCTGTGTTTTCCCCTCTCTATTACATGCTGATATACTTGGGTCTGTCTCATGATGTTTGGCTATCTGATGATCAAAAATCCACGAGGTGCTTGTTCTTATACTAAAGAAAAAGTTTGCTGACAGCCTCTCTTGCCTACACTGAAAGTTCTCTTTTTGATTCTACCCTTCACCCTGTCCTGTACAGTCCTGCTCCCTTCCTACCCTTTTCTGTTTCCTGGGAATCATAGAGCCAAAAGTGTAATTACTCTTTATCTCATGAACTCAYCTAATTCTTCAGTCTGTAGGTTGGACAGGTTTGCTCTAACTCCTGCATCAGTGTCTGCACCCTTGGAAAAAAGGTGTGCTTTTAATGGAGTGCTGAGGTCTTTCTAGGAGGAATAACTGTGCWAGGATTGCTGTGCTGGTTAACTTCTCCAGTAGAAACACACCAATATTCTGCATCCCCCTTTCTTCAGGGTCACATTAGCTTTTATTTCCAATATCCTCGCTCAAGTCACTCATTTCACATCAAAAGAGAGCAGTCACACTGTAAGTTGATGTCCTGATAAATGTTTCTACATCTGCTTTCTGTACTTTGTGCAAGAGCTAATATATTTTGGAAGGCTAACCTTGAGAAGGCTGCTGCCTCAAATCCTGAGCTATTGTGCACAGAGAAGGGTGGCATTACTTGTAAGAGCTGAGTTGAACTATTCACTCAGTGKGAGGATGCCTTCTGCTGCTGTATCCCTGTGGAATGGTAACCACAGTGGTAACCACAGCTTTGACTCAGTTTTTGTAGCTCTGTGTGTGGCTCACACTGAACAGCCTTACTCTCTAAGAACAACGTTTCAGGGCTTGCCATCAGCATTTTGGCAGATGACATGGAGTAATTTGCGTTTAGCTCTTTCTAAATGTTTTTTAGCTTTGCTTTTCAAACCTTTATTTCTACTGAGTCAAGATTTCTACAGGGGTTGATTGTAATTTCCTTCTCTAGGAATTTTCAGATGAACTTGGAAACAGATCTGCAGCTCTTAAAGGAGAGCTGAGGCTTTCTCCAAATGAGGCTAGTGGAAGCACAGGTAAGCTTATTTCACAGGAGCTGTATGTCTACTGATTTTTAAATTTTTTTTTAAATATTCCAGGGAATGCGTTCATTATGGATGTTTAGGTGCTTGTTTGGTGAGCATGTCATTCCCAAAGTCTGAGTGGCTGCTGTAAAGGCAGTATTTTCAGGCCGAGTGCCTGTTATGTCTGAAATAGTGTTAGAGATGCTAAGGGGRAAAATGTACCTGTGACTCCTTGTCTGGATAGTGCCCCTAGAAATTGAAACAGCAGAAGCTATAAGGTGTCAAGGGCATAAGCAGGGCTTTTTCTTTTATTGCTGCAGCAGTAGATTGAGCTGTGAACAAGTCAGTGTCTTCCTCTGTCCTGGGAAGGCAGCTCAGTTCCTGGTTATGTGGCCTCCTTGGAATACTCTTCCATCTTTTTGTGTTCAGATGRATAGCAAAATCAAACTGAAATATCTTTGGAATCTTAGTGGAACTGCAGCCTGTAAAAAAAMCAGTTACATGTTGAAAATTAATTATGATTTTGCAAATAGCACATAGGTRAAAAGTTCCTCCTTTTCATGCAGTGGAGAACCTGCTTGGAAACTGTGAGACACAGGAGCAAAGGACTGAAACTTAAAAAGTTTGCTGCTCTTTATATTGGAGTTTTACAAAGGCTCATGCAGTAAAATGTCACTAAGTAGTGTCTGCATACCAGGTGTGCAGCAAAACACACTTGCCCTGCCATCCTGCCATGAGTAGCAATGATGGGAATGAGTGCAGGTCGAGTAAAGACTCCTGCGAGAAGGAATGATTTTCAGTTAGCATGGCAGGCAATCCTCTTCACAGGCTGAGTCTGCAGCCAAAGTGTGGTCTCAGCAGGCATTGTACCCATGAAAAGGCCCCTTATCTTTTACATCATCACTCCCTTCTGCTCAGGGTCTGCATTTCTTTTCCTGCAGCTTTTTCTGCTCTCTCTTCAACCTCAGCACATGATGTGCATGAAGTGACAATTGGCTCCATCGTGTTCCGGGTGGTGGAAGGTGATATCACCAAGGAGGAGGCAGACGTCATTGTAAACATAACAAACCAAACCTTCAACCTCAAAATAGGTATTTTAATTGATAYTATGTATGAAAAAATTATGTGTGCTTGGAAGGGCTGGGAAAGAAGAGGAGGAAGTATTCAGTGTTTTAAACCCTTTCATTTGTTTCACAGTGTAGTTTCTGTTTTGCTTCTTAGGGTACAAAAGTTCAACTAGGGAGTGTCTGAAATTTTATTCTSTTGTTAATCTGTGTTACAGGACAGTGTGTTTAAGACTCTCTTGCAGATGGGGAAATAATTTTCTTTTAATACAGAACCTTTTCATAGAGCACCTCTCAGACTAAAGGAGAAGACAAACCTCAATGCGTTTTTGACCTTAGTGAAACTTGTTAGGTACTTTAAACATCAATTTGAATTGAAACGCATATAAGGCTAAAATTTTGGCTGCAGTGTTTTTTATTTATAATCTGTAATGTTGTTAGATTTGAGATGTTTTAGATGTGATGAGGCATACAGTTCTGCCTTAGATGGGACTTTAACAGCAGTAACAGTGGTTTCATGCTCCTCTTCTCATTTAAGGTGTCTCCAGAGCAATTCTGAMTGGTGCTGGAAAAACAGTTGAAGATGAATGTGCTATACTAGGTATGGTACAACATTTCTGACCTTTCCAAAKGTGTTAATGCGTGGCRGGGAATCTCTTGGAATRCTTTCTCAGCACTGACTACTGTAGKTCCATCTGTATTATGCACTSTGTTACAGCAGCTTGTTTTTAATCAGTTAATGTGGTATTAGTAAAACATCTAATGAGGAAAAGAAAAGAAAATTCTTCAAGAGGAGACAGCTTCTAAGCATACATAAAGATGCAAATCTATTAGATTTTACATCGTCTTATTCCAAAGAAGATTTCCATGATAAAAACAGAGTCATCATCAAACAGAGCCATGAGCAAGGGATGATGTTGTCAAAAATGTTAATAGAGAAGCCATCTCTCACTGGAAACAACTGTGTAGCTTAAACTCCTTTTGTTATTTCCCAGAGAGATGTTTGCTGTTGGCCTAACTGGTAACTCATTACTGGGTGACYATTTTTCATCATGTGAAGCTGAGTCCCTGCCTCAGAAGAGGCATTCATTTGTAGGCCAAATTCAGCTASTGGACAGCGACTGTAATGAAATAGGAGTAAAGATGGATGAGTATGTGGTTTAAAACACCAGAAAATAAGGGAAGTGGGAAATAGGCAGGTGTGGAGGTCAGCTTGGAAGACCAACCMAAGGAAAAGGATTTGTGGAAGAGATCAGAGGTAAAATAAACAAGCTTCTTTTGCACAGGCTAAGAGAGTAATTTGGGCTAGGTGGCCTGGGGGTAGATGGCATGTTTGTGTTTGTGTGTGAAGACAGGGTGCCAGTCTGCGTGAAGTTCTCCAGGTTTACCAAGCAAGCCTGAACAAATAAAGGCACACACTAAATTTATTTGCCAARGAAGGCAAGTATTTTACAAACATAAATTGAGTTCTTGTGCTTTRAAAGTGAAAATTGAGCGAGGAGGTTGCTCACTTTATTGAAGGACACGTGAAGCTTATCCTGAGGCATATTTGTCACCATTTCTTATTTCCTAATGAGGACTAGTACACATCTCTATTGTGGATAATTGTTGATTATTTTGTCCTATTTATGTTTCAGCCCTGCAAACTAACAGCAACTATATCACCACCCAGGCAGGAAACCTACCATGCAAAAAGATAATTCATTTTGTTGCCCAAAATGATATCAAGTTCCTGGTCTCCCAGGTGCTCCAGGAGTGTGAACTACAGCAGTACACCTCTGTCGCCTTCCCTGCAATTGGAACAGGTCTGCATCTCTCTTKTTTGAAAAGGATTCAGTGCATGTGATTCTGCTGATCTCAGGGCTCAAGTGATGAATTTGATTTATCTGGAGGGGTGATTATTTGGTGAAAAGATATTTGGAAACTGCATCTTTAAAATTGTTATTAGAGGTATATGAAAGCTAGAAAGCTTCAATCCTTGCAGTGATCTAGTACATAAAGAGCATGARTGTTCTAGAGCCAGCACTTCCTTGCTAACAGGGATTCAAAGGTATGTCTGGGCTTCCTAAAGATCCTGCAGCCTGGTGTGTGTGGGCAGCTCATCAAAGAATAKCCAGGAACCTGCTTCTCCATTGCTGAAATCAGTAGATGACACAACCCTGGCCAGCAGCCRCACAAGTAGGGTTGTCATGGACTGAATGCAAAACTGTTGAAAAGGCCAGATTGTCCGTTTTCCTTCCCTTGTTATTTTCAGTGAGCTTGGTAGAAATCCCTGGAGTTAAGAGAATCCAGAACTGCACCTCATGTGTGTGGGAGCCTCTTGCATGAATAAAAGTAGGCTTGCATTTTGAGCGAGGAGTGGAGCACTGGGCCTCTGAACAGCCAGGCCTGTGGCCTGTTGGATCCCCGAGCCATACCATCTACATCATAACCTGATTGGTTGCCATGTCAACAAAAAGAAATTTCAATTTTTCCCTTGCTGGAAAGGTTGTCCCCAACTTTCTTTTCCTGACAAATAAAAACCTTTCCTTATTGCAGCCTGATGTTATTCTTGACCAGTTTATGATACAGGGTATGATTGTGGGTATCATCATAGCTGTTCTTTTAAAGGTGTTTTAATCATCTGTAACAGTTATTAACACTTTTTAGAGCAAAATATCTGCAACTTTTTTCAGGAGAGGCAGGCCGCAATCCATCTGAGGCAGCTGACAACATGATAGATGCGGTGACTGACTTTGCAAGAAGGAATCCTGCTCCATCTTTGAAAATGATTAAAGTTGTCATCTTCCAGCCACATCTGATGAGCGTGTTCCAAGCAAGCATGCAGAAAAGAGAGAAGTCTACTGTAACACGAATCAAATCATGGGTTTCCAAGGCGTATCACATGGCTGGGTGTAAGTAGATGTCACTTAAGTACAGGTTATAGATCAAGCTTTTTTAGCACTGGTTAATAAAGATTAATATTAATTACAATATTTATGTATTTCAATATAGCATTACTGAGCTCTGAAAAACGTTCCCCAAAGGTAAAAACCAAAGTGGTTTTGGAAAAGAAAATCGACCTGGCTGTTGTGCAGATYTGTGGTGAAAATAAAAAAGAAGTGGAAGCTGCTGAAAACTGGCTGAGAAGTACAATTTCAAAAGAACAATCTCAAACAGAAATTGTAGATGAGTGTATCTCTCATTTCAGTGAAGAAGAGACTGAAGAACTGCATGACCTACAAAAGAATTTAAAAATAGTTTTTCGTTTGAAGAGTGACTCTATTGGAATTTCAGGGGTTACAAAAGACGTCTGGATGGCTGCTTCAGCTATTCAGAAAATCATCCTGCGGGTAAAAGTTGCTAAAGAAAAAGAGACCCAGGCAAAATTTTTACAAAATTTAGTTGAGTGGAAATATTCAAAAAAGGATTCTTATGTGCCCTTCGACTGTCTCACAAATATGGAGTTGGAAAATGCTTACAGCAGAAAGCAGAAAAATGTTGAAGTCACCATTGGTGAGCAGAAATACACAGTGGATATAGAGAGTAAACAGGCTGTGGATGCCCAAGGAAAACAGATACTTGTTATACGTGTTGATAAATCTGAAGGTAAGTAAAAGCATCTTGACAGACTGATGTTCCCACCTGAAAACACAGTTGTATCCAGTAAGAAAACAGAAAGGAATGGTGAGAATATTCCAGGTATTCTTAGGAGCTTTGTGCAGGTGCCTTGCTGGAGACTGTAGAAAGGAAACAAATTGGGAAAATAAAGAACCTTGCAGCTATTTAAAATACTTTGAAGAGCAAGTAATGCATTCTGATGTTCTCAACAGGCTTACTAGCAATAATTTTCTTGTAGAAATTGTCGTTTTAGATCTCAGCTCACTTCTGTTCTTTGAGAACCTAYCCTCTTCCATTTACTACTACTGGTCCTTTACAATAGAAAGAGATACCTCCTTCTGATTCATCCATAAGCAAGATGTATGGACTTTTAGAAGGATTTGTAACAGGGCATATTTAATTTTAAGCAGGGGATTTGKGTGAATAGGATTGATCATGTTTTTACTGCAGATCAAGAGTCAACAGTGCTCCCTCCAACGTGGGACCCCATGGAAAATGAGCGAGTCAAAATAGTGGAACTAAAACCAGAATCAAGAGAGTATAAAGATGTGCAGGCAAAGTTTCTGCGAACCTGTCAGTCATTCAAAATTGAAAAGGTAAAAGCAAGTCTAATAACAACAGAAAAAGGAATTCCCCTGGGGGGTCTGAAGTTGGACTACTCTTTCTGGCTGTCACTAACTTTAATCAGCTTTAATCAGTTTAATGTTGCAGTTGAGGTATTTGGAGCAGCTCTTAGGCAGTCAGTTCTTCAGCTCCAGGGGCAGTGCTCTTCCTTGGAATGGTTTTTGCTGTAGCAGAGAACSTATTTTCTCACATAAGCCATGTGTGCTGTGCAGGCCCAGCAGACATCTATGACCTGGAAACCTGCGAAACACTCCTGTCTTGTTTCCCAGGGAGTCTTTGTCTCATGATTTGGGCTGGGTTCTGCTATCTGCCATGCCAAAGTTTGGAAGGATTTGACTAACTTATTTCATCATCTGGTATATGTGCACTGGAGCTAGGAGGGGAATATTGGAAGCACATTTAATRATTGATAAACTAACTTTTTTCATCACAGCAACCTACCCACTTTCTTTCTGTCTTACTTTTAAACTTCACAGATTGAAAGGATACAGAACCCGTATTTTTGGAAGGCTTACCAAATAAAAAAGTGTGAAATGGATAAAAAAAATGGCAGCATCAAAAATGAGAGGCTTCTATTTCATGGGACGAGTAAGGAGTCATTAATCTTAATTAATGACCGTGGATTTAACCGGAGCTATGCTGGAATGCACGGTATGTAACTTAAAAAACAATTCTTATTTTCCTGATTAGGGCTAGGACTGATTTGCCATGTCATCTGTAYAGTCCTGCCTTGTATGCAATATTATTTACTTTGCTGTATCTCTCTAATGCAAATAAAAAGTAGAAATGTCCAGAGATTCACAGGCTCTRAAGGTGGCAGATGAGGAATTGCTGCTACTGAAACACTCACAAACATTTGTTTTTCTGACTACAGCTGCAAACTTTGGAAATGGAACATACTTTGCTGTTAATGCCAACTATTCTGCCCACGACACCTACTCTAAACCAGATGCGAATGGGAAGAAGTACATGTACTTGGCTCGAGTCCTTGTTGGAGAATATTCTCAGGGAATAAGAGGATCGATTACTCCGGCATCAAAAAATGCTGGCAACTCCGTAGATCTGTTCGATAGTTCAACTGATAACATGACCCACCCATCCATGTTTGTAATTTTTAATGACATTCAAGCTTACCCAGAATATCTTATCACTTTCACTAGATAAGTATTTTGATTGCAGCCACAACTGTGTTCTTTTCAGCCTTTATGATGGATGGAAACACCTRTAACAACACATTACAAAAATAATAGACTTGTGTCAAATTAATTTCTGTTTCCATTCAAGCAATCTCTGGCAATTTCTGATGCCCCTGAAGCTTGTTTACACTCGGAGCAGCTGAGTGTATTAACACTCCAGCACAATATTGTACTGCAAACCTCTTTGAGATTACGTTGAGCCTTTGTGCTGTGTCAGCCTTTCCATATAGCCTTAGGACCTTCCTAATTGCTGTAGGGGAAGTGGAAGAGATAATGCAGCCACGGACCATTCAGTGTCCCATTTTTGTGCCTTCTTACACTCTGACAATCTCATAATGGATTATGATAGAGCGGTTTTCAATAAATGTACCACTTATATTTAATGGCTTGTGTTTGTCTAAACCTCTGTGAACATTTAGCAGTGGTTTTCAACCAGTGAGCTTCAATGAACTTGACATTTCTCATATGGATTGACTTGCTTTTCATACAATAACCCCACKGCTTTGCAGCACCTCCAACTTCAGAAAGCACTTGGCTCCTGTGAATATTTTGGGTTTGACTTACTTKGTTGTATAATCAAGAAAAAAAATCTTCCAATGCTTTCTTTACATAATTAGTTAGGTTACTGTCAAAGTTTTACCAGGGATTGGTGTGTCCATGTGCGCAGTGACTACTGTAGGGTAACTGTGGCCAAGGAATACCTTTCCTAGGGAAGGTGATGTGAAATAACATGAATCTGCAAGTCAAGTATCTCAACAGAGCCATAAATCTCAGGYTGTTCATTTACACCTATCCCATCACTCCTGCAACAGCACTGGAACYGCTCCTTTTGGGCTTTTTGGCTTTTTACCATGTCAGTTTTCTAACCACTGAAAATTGCTGACTGTCAAAATCAAGTGGGTTGATTGAAATCAATTTCACCYAGAGCTGGAAATCAAGATACTGCTATGGGGGCCAAAAGTCTTAAGTTGTGCTTGTACAATGAATCAACGTATTAAATCCCTGTAACAAATACCCATGGCCAGTGGTTCATCAGTGTGCCAGGAGCCAGAGGAAATAGCTCCAGGTGCATCATTGCAGCTGATGGRTCACTGGTACCAGTCTGAGTGTTCTCTCCAGGAGCCAGCACTGCATCAGGTCTCAGCTTCCCCAGTGCCACAAGAAGCTGCAGTGGACACCAAAGTGTTTTTTCACCAGTGCTTGCATTACAGGTGCTGAAGGCATCAAGCCTGGAGCAGAAACCTGTAGCTCTGGGCTCTGTGCAGGCCATGAGGGACAGACACTGCTTTACCACGTGAGTTTATTCCTACAGAAGGGCAAAGGCTGGAGGCAGGAGCATACAAAGGGATCAGGAATCACTGGACAGCCTGAATCAGAAGGGACCCACAAGGATCATCAGGTCCAGCTCCTGGCCTCGCACAGGACACCCCCAGAGTCACACCATGTGCCTGAGAGCATTGTCCAAGTGTTTCTTGAAGCTGTCAGGCTTGGTGCTGTGACCATTTACCTGGGGGGCCTGTTCCAGTACCCAACCACCCTCTGAGTGAAGAACTTTTACCTAATACCCAACCAAAACGTCCCCTGGCACAGCTTGTTCTACCTTGATTTTGTTTCTCTGCCAGCAATGATGCYAAGTGTGGAATATGTAAGAATTTTCTTAAGAAACCATGTTTTTGACGTTTGATCTTTGTAAACTTTCAAGTTTAATCAACAAGAAAGGTGATTTTATCCATGAAACACATAGCAGCTAGCAAGTAAGCTATAACTGATATCCAAGTGTTAGAAAGACAATTTGCTTGTTAGCAGAATTGCCTTGTTAARGTTAAGGGCTTGACATRTTTCAATGWTTTGAGACTTTGGGGGGAGGTCAGCAAAGCTTGGGAAGAAGGATTTACCACTGATTGTGGACACAAAGAATGCAGAATTTACAGGCCACAAGGTCATTTGGCAGAACCCCCAAGATAAGGAGGAAACTAATAAAGACAACTCAGCAAGTGKGCTGAATCAGCTCTTACTGGGTTAACGTAATTCCAGCAAGRGGAGATGGTGACCACCAACTCATATCCTATGAAGTCAAGAAACCCACCGACCCAGAAAAAGAGAAAGACTAAGCATGTGAACTAATTGACATGAGAAGCAAGAGAATCATTAACCCATAGTAGACAGAATACTAATCAATAAAGGMACTAAGTTACTTGTAGCCAATGAACATTAAAGCCTTTTTTTGCTAAAGTGTATAACGAATGAAAATTTTCGTAGTTGCCACGCTGGCTTTGTGGACTTTCCCCCAGTCCCTTTTCTGGGTAGATGAATCAAATGCCTCGACACCCGTGCGTGAATCGGCCTCTTGCACACCGGGACAACAGAGAAACCTCTCCTGGGACAACAGCGGGACGGGACGGGCTGCGAGCCCCCGGCACAGGGCAGAGAGGGCATTGATAAGGTGAAGGGGGTGCTTTGGATATTCCAGCGGCAGAGGAGCGAAAGGGCGCGGGCGTGAAGCGGTGCCTGGAGGACCCGGGCCAGGTGTATCGCGAAGCGGGCAGCGGAGACACAACAGTGTCGTGCATGCCGGGAAAAGCCGCGCCCCGGCGGGCTGGGAATCGAAAGCGATAACGCAGCGGGGGAGAGGAGCAGTCTGGGCGGCCATGCAGGGGAAGGAACCGKGCTCCTTCCCGCTGCTGGTGCGAGGGGACTGGGGCCCSGCCGAGCCGCCGCCCGCGCTCAGGAAGAAGCTGCTCTGCTACTTCCAGAGCCAGAAGCGCTCGGGCGGCGGCGAGTGCGAGCTGCGGGCCGGGACCGAGCCCGGSACCGAACCCGGGCACATCCTCGTCTGCTTCGCCCGCCCCGAGGGTGAGCGGCCGGGCCGGGCCGGGCCGGGG